AAAAATATCCAAGTGTGTTTGTTGAAATGATAAAAAAAAAAAATTAGGCACAATATCTAGCACCAACGAACAAAAGCAACATGAGAAGGATAACTTAAGTGGTGATTAAGATTGAAAATTAGAATCGGTAAAAGGAAGTCTAGTGCTCTTGCTAATGCTATAGACACGATATAAGAGAATTAAATCTTTATTAGATACATGGGTTTTATTATAGTGAAGGACTTAAAAAACTATCTAAAGGAAGGCATAACCCAATTATGTATGCCAAGATGGTAAAGACACTAACATAGTATGAATAGCAATAAAAGAGGAACCAATATTAGTGGTGTTGTTGGATAACAAGACATATATGCCTTGCTTATTCGATCTAAAATGAAATACCTTCTTTGTGTAGATATCCTTAATCATAAAATAATTCAAGAAAAATTCAATAGAGATAGTATTAGCTTTAGTAAAGGAACTCATTGATAAGAGATTCTAACATGTAGTAAACACATATAAAATATTCTTCAAAGCAAAATTATAACTACAAATAAGAAGAAAAGAGTGTACAATATAAGAAATTAGAAGAGTTTTACCATCGCTAATAGTCACTTATTCGAGTCTAATGTATTTTGAGGAATATTTCAAGTTTTTTATATTTTTCATGAGATGATGTATGTCCTTTGGTGGACTAGATGTAGCAAAATGGGCGGTAGGTTGAAATTTTGAAGACTATCGAGTAAAGCATGTGGATAAAGAGAAGGACATTGATCGATAATATAGCTATCGGCCTAATAGTCATGGCACACAATAAGATTGGTATTGGTTATAGAGTAATTTAGGGAGGAATAAAATTGAGAAATAGAGGATGTTTGAGTGTATGTACTAGAATAAGATTCATGATGGCACTATTCATGACCCCTTAGGCCACGGCCATGGCTCGGATGAAGGTTGCCACCATGGGCAGAGAGGTAAGCCAAAGGAGTAGTTATATTGTATGCCATTATGAAATCTTAAGAGAGTTATCATTCCTCACTAACAAGGAGATCAAATAGTTCATTGAAGAAAACAAAGGTAAGTCTAGCCTCCGAAGAACGAACAAAAGGCCGGTACATAGTACCAAAGCCTCGCAACGATAGCATTAACCATTTCATCTTCGGCTATAGGATTACCGAGGGATGTTAAATGGTCGGATAAGGCTTTTGCCTTCTACATATAGATAGAGATGTCATCATTATCTTAACGAGTCTATGTAGTTGACACTTAAGTTGGCAAATTTGGGTTTTGGAACCTAAAGCATAGGAGGAATTCAAATGATGCCATACATCTCTAGTAGTAGAAGCACCCACAATGTGAGTAAGGATCGATTCGGTGAATGATGAAATTATCCAATTGAGGACCAACTATTTTTAATGATACGAGGCAAAATAAATGGGATTTGGGATATTATATTAAAAAATGAGGGTTGGCGATGCCATGGTTCCATCGATGTGATGAACTAGATCATGGCCATGCAAGGGAGGAAAAAGTTAGGTCCGCTAAAGGATAAAGTTTATGGAGGTTAATTTAATAGTGAGGGCATGATAGATATTTGGATAGAAGGTAAGTGATGTGGTAATGTGTGAGTGAGAGATAGTAACGATCGAATGGAGATATTCAACACCTTCGGGTGTAACGATGATGGACTTGCTATCGAGCAAGAGAGAAGAGAAGGGGTCTTGATGTAATAATGAAGGAACACTCGCATAACTACATATATGATAGTTGCAAGTACTCGTAATGATTGGTCTATTAGAAGGGCACAAAGAAAAGCCGATGCAATAGCATGTGGGAAAAAAGAAATGAAAAAAAAAGTGACGAGTAATAGTCATAAAAGGATTGATGTGGTGGGTGGAATGATACACTTTGGTTGTTAAGCCTAGAATGGCTCTAATACCATAAAGAAATTTATAGCTAGATGAATTTCACACACTTGTTATTTTTGTATATTGATCTATAAATAAGTTATAGAAAGTGATACGATTACTATTCAAATGTTTTAAAAGGATCCAATTTGATCTATAAGATATCCGAATACTAAGTATCTTAACTCAATTATCTTAACTTATCAATTGCACTAGGAGAGAGCTACATTGGTGGAGTATTCAAAGTAGACTTGTACTAGGAGAGAGAGGCATTTTGACTTGTACTAGAAGAGTGAGAGTGTGTGTGCCTATTTCCTTTATGCTCGTGTAGTAAATAAGAAAGTCGTTTGTTAAGCATACTCAAAATTTACTCAAGTTCTTATCCTTTCATTTTAGAGCGAGTAATGCCCTTAAAGAAACATGGAACAACCGATGATAGCCTAGACTTAAAATGTGTTATCTCTATCTCTTACATTGAGGCATGGAACATCTTCTAATCACATGATATGATTAAGTGAACAATATCATAATCATAAAACCGAGAGCAATAATTGAGAGTAATCGTAATTTCTTTTTAATATTTTTGTTCAAAATTCATCAAATCTCCCATAAAAGCTCAATTCTATGAGTAAAATACCGAGTTGATAAAATACTTAATTACCGTAACCACACGGTTGGCGGCTTTACTCGTAATGAACTCCATTCCATACTATGTTGAAAAATAAAATAAGAATTACGGAATTGGAGATGAAAACGGAAGATCTTAGTGCTTAATTACATGTAAAAATCTCTCTATATTGTCTTTAAGATGATTATTGTCCCCACTATAATGCTATAGGGATTTTGGCAATTAACCTTTAGGATTCAATTTCCGCATTCAAGAAATTACATGCAACATTTTTGAAATTCCTTCTAGATAATTTCTTTTGAAGTAGTAGAGTTTTAGAAAGAAAAGAATTTTGAGGGGATGATTACAAAAGAAAGAATAATATTTATAGTTTATCGAAATCTTTTCATGGACTTAAACATTTTTATAACAAACATGACTCTTGAAAATTAATTTAATTAAATAACTAATTTTTAAATTTTAACGAGCAATAATTCAACAATCTTACTTGTTTGAAACTTAAAAACTCGATTGTTACATAAAAATAATGATTAAAGGCATAATTAATTAATATAATTATGAATTTAATTAAATCACAAAATAAAAAATAAATCCTAAACCTATATATATATATAATTCCACCCACTTAGTTTTCCTCTAAATCATTCTAAATGTTTAAAACCTTACAAAAGGTCTCATTTATGCAATGTTTCTCCTTTTAATTTTTTTTTTTCCAATATGAAATCAACATCCCATTTGAAAACAAACACTTTCAAACTCTTTACCATACTTAACTTATTATTTATCACAACCCAGATTTCCAACATTATATAGATTATGATACATTATTGCAAACGTTGTAACCAGGCTGGCCTCACGTTGCTTTAACATTGTAATTATTTGGAGGCCCCCGTAGTCACAACAAGCCATGAATTGATCTTCAAAACCTACATGTATGTGTGTGGAAATTATTTAAAGTAAAAATGCACCTTCCTCAAATCCACATAACCGAACGAGAATTAAAAGCAGCCTCTAATGTCAACTCAAACTGACATCAGCATTATCACTCACCATATTTTCTATAATTGGCTAAGAGATTGTATTTGATCTCGTACATGTCTACGTAGACAATGGTTGCATCTTTAAAGGTTGTTCTCATTTTTTGCAGATTTCGCGAGGTCCGTTATTAAAGGTTTTTGTGACATCATTATGCACACGAAGGCAGCCAATTTGATCAAGATCACTGTTTTTATGGGGATGTAACGAGAGTTCTTGGGTGCCCACCCTAATGGACCAGTGTTGTGTATCCTGAATTTTCTGCCACCATATAAATATAAGTTCTGCTTTTTTCAGAAAATTAGATTAGAGAGAGAATTTTCAACAACAAAATAATGTCAGTTATTATGCAATATAATTCCAGCTATAGAGTACTTGGATAGCTAATTTGATTTCTGCAAGAAAAGAAGGGATCTTTTCAAGAACTGTTGCATGGGTTAAGTTTGATTCATACAAGGCGATAACAGATCGTTCTGCAACTATCAATCAAGTAGAGAGCACATTACGGAACCCCTCACCATCAACGTAATTTCCTGAACCTGTGTTGCGTTTCCACTAAGGTTTATATCATCTTCATTGATCTGCACCTTAATGTGAAGAAATAATGCTTGCTTGCCATTGATTGGAGTTCAAGGAAGCTATTCTTGAAGCGAATGAATCGTCACACTTGTTGAACGCTTAGTGCAAAAGGGAAAAACTGGGGAAGAGTTGTAGGCTTGTAGCCCCCCTTACTGCAAAATTTACTCCACTAGTGAAATTTGGTGCCGTGAGCCCTAATATGGACTCAAATAGTAACTCAAGTTCAAAATTGAGAAGGCCAGTGCCTGCTAATAGTTCTCCAGTGTCAGAATTCGAATCACCAAATTGATAAGAATGGGTCTCATCTCTCTTGAATTTGAGATGGGAAACACATTTTAAGAAGATGTATATCCATACAGACAATGAGTAAATAGGAAATCCCCATAACCCATTTCCTATAACGCAGTAACTTCTACACTCGCAAGAGATTGGATACAAGCTTTGGGTTTCAAGGAGACAGAGAATTCATTCATAGTAATACCTTTTTAGGGAAGAATTGTTTCATAATCTAGCATGGAAAGACTTTCACCAAAATATCCAATCAAATTAATTTGCGATTTTCTGTACTTGGCCAAATCCAGTGCTTGCAAGTCAAAACCACTTGTTTTTTTTTCCTTTTTTCCTGTTACATACGTCACATTCTCTGTATATACTCGCTCCATTTGCAAGATGACCAAATGAATTTTCTTGTGAATGCAACTAACCATATGCCACAGGAAGGAGACAACCGTTGATCTCATTCACTGAATCACAAGCAATATGAAATAGTGAAAACCTCAACTTGGTTTGCTTGTAAAGTTAAATTTCCTGCAAGTATTAACTTGCCAAGGATATTTGAATTAGCAATTTCGATCAAGTTGCAAACTGGCTAGCTAGTCATTACAGAAATAATTAAACTTAATCTGAGGCGTAGAGTAATCAGTAGATAGTATTTTGGAGGCAATGAAAGCAGTGGCAGCTTCTGTGTAGTGAACTCCATCCCAACTTATGTATTTTGATCCTTTCTCGCACACATTGTAACCAGCTCGGCTGCAGGTAATTTTCGGATTGTAGTTGTATGGCGGACCACCATAGCCGCAACATGCCATCAATGGATTCTCAAAACCTGTTTATTAAACTGTTTGTCAGCTGGAAGTCACAAGCAAATGGGCTCCACACACATGTACGCACCTAAAGATCTATTCTCTTCAACAATGAGACTAACGCAAAGATCTAGATGAATTTGGTTGATAAAGTTGACCGTGGATTTATCAAGGACTTTGGAATGAGATCATACCATATGTAGTAGCATTCGCAATGAGGTCATACTTGATGGAATACATGTCCACGTACACAATGGTGCTATTTTTCAGTTCAGATCTAAGTTCTTCACATAGAATGCGCAACTGGTCATTAAATTGCTTTGCTGCATCGTTAAGAGCCTTAAGGCATCCATACTGATCAAATCCACTAGCTTTTTTGTCGAAGGTAGCAAGTTTTTGTGGCAGGCAACCCAGAGGCCCCGTATTGTGTACCCAGAAGTTCCTCCCACCATGTTGATATATATTCTACATTTGAATTGAATTTGCGATGATGTAAACAACATTTCAAGGAGATTAAAAAAAAAAAATCGAATTTTGTACTGCTAGTGAAAAGTGAAGAATCACCTGCATAGCATGGTTGATTTCTATGATGAAAGATGTTACGTTTTTTATAACTTGTTCATAAGGAAGGTATTCAAACGAACCAGCAAGATCGTTCTGTCCAATGTCAATTATATGAAGTGCATCCTTGAAGGCATCATCATCAACAAAGTCTTTATAGCCTAAAATGAAAGCAAGAGAAGAAAGAGAGAACTGAACTCTATCTATTTGGCACTTAAATTCTTCTTGGATCGTAAGTGTAGTTTAATATTATTTAACAACGTACCTTTTGAAACTAGCTCTGGGGAACGAGCTCGGAATCGAAGGAACTGAAGAATTTGAACGTCTAAACTAAAAGGCTTATATCTAGGTTGAGTGGCCGCACCACTAAAAGCAAAATTGACTCCATTTCTGAAATTTGGCCCCATTGGTTCCAGATAAGGGGTCAAGTAACTTGTATTCAAACTTTCGCCTGCAGTACACACAGAATATAATTGTGAAAGAGGGGGCTGTCCGGTCAGTTGGTCGCCACAAACATTAGGCAGGTCTATTTTCTAGGTTCTGCAGATGCAATTTTTCCAAAAAAGGTTCGAGAGACAAATGTCTACGTTTCAGTGATGTTCTGCAAGAGAAGATAAAAGAGTGGACTATGAAGCATTCACAAAATGATGGCATCAAACTAAATTGGTCCTGATTATAAAATGTTCCCATTAAATATCCGAATGCTGTGCATTAGATGACAATTTTGACGCGGCATATTAGCACTATTCTACGAAATATTCTGAAAAAATTAGAACTCCTTAAATAAAATATGATTAACAAATGCAAAGGGCTTTGTCGAACTACTTACATGGGAAATCAATGATCAATCGTCCATCGCATAATCGACCTGATGGCTGATTAAAGTATGTGCGTCCATTGGGAACTCCAAACATCAAACCAAGTCCAGAATAATAAGCACCAGTGTCTGAGTTGAGTCACCAAAGATGAATATTACTGGATTTCTGTTGCACTGACAATTAATCAGAAGGGGAAAGAAGAAACACATTATCATAGGAGGTACGAGGAAGGGAAAAAGAAGTGGAAATTTTAAGAGATTTGCACTCATTTTGCTCTGCTTTGATTAGAATGACTAAAAAACTCAGTATTTTATGTGTTTTTTGAAGTGAAGTTGATCTAGACATTGACAGCTGCGCCACCGGTGAGAATTTGGACGCATACTGCTAATCCTGCATATAAAAACAGGAGCATGTCAAGACAAATACACTACTAGAGCAGTATTTACTGTACAGGATTCATATTTTTGGTTTACTTTCATGAATGATTCTTTTTTCATTATTTGACATGATCAGACCCGTGATGAAAACCCGTGATAACCCACCAATAATAAGCTGAAGAAGGAGACGACCTGATTATCAGTTTTTTGGGTTTTGTACATTTTGTCCTCCAGTCAATTACTAGGCCTCAACTAAGCTCATCATAACCACTAAAAGGAACGACATCAGTTGGCTTGTGAATGATTACAAGATTGGCATTGAAATAAAATAAAAATCAAGAAATATATTCCAATAATTACGAAGAAAGCTTGGGCAGGCATGGGAAGTAGGTACTTTGCTTACCCAAATATAAAAACAAGTGTTGTTCCTTTTCCCTCTTCCCTTCACATGCGTGCTTACTGTCTATGGTTTCTGCCCAAAGTTTTGGAAAACCAAATTATTACAAAAATAAAATTAGATATCTGTGTGAACCCAATAACCTCGCCAAGGAGCAGAAGAGACCTAAAATGTGGCAAACGATATATTTTCTTACCCTGTATTGAACACCAGCAAAAGAAGCTAATGGCAAAGAAACATGCTTATTGAGATCATATCACTGAACCATCAATGACGAAAACAGAGCTGTTGGATGATAGATACTGCAAAATTACCAAATTCAGTCCAAGCAATTAATGTTGTAATTGATTTACTCCACCATCCACAATTTTACAAGCAACCATATTTATTTCAGATACTATAATATATGTGAAGCGTGAAGGTAAAAAAAAAAAAAACACTCGCTGAAATTTTTGATACCATATCTCGAACTGAATTTTTTCTATTTCCACCTGCAACGAAAAAAAAAAACATAATTATATAAAAAATCCTCAACATGGACATAAGAAACGACATGAACTAGTTTATGTATAGTTCTCACACATTCTCAAATTCATCAAGCACTAGTACTAATTAATCTTGAACATAGGCCAATGGTGGATAATTAATACTAATACTTAATGGCCAATTACCAATAGTTATAAAGAAGGTAGATAGAGTGTGATGAAGCGTGAGCTTCCCTCATCTTCTGGACAGACAGTAAGGTTTTTTTTTTTCCCCCGAAATCTGCAAGGTAGGGTTCCTCTCTTGCTGGTGTCGCTTCAGTCGTCTCTCTAGCTTAGTCTTGCCTTTTCCCTTATCATGAAGCTTTATAAGAAAGAGCTTTAAACGCTTGTTTTTGAATCATGATCCTTCCAAACTTATATCTCCTTTACCTCATACTATTTATTCATATCAGAATCATTAAACTTGCGTTCTTGTTCTTCTCCAGGGGCAGTTTCTGTAAATAAATAGAATGACGATGTTTAACTTCTCCTTTATCTTTAAGAAGTTGAAGCGCACCTGCTAATCTCTTGCCAATTACAACTTCACGGATATTAAAATTATCGGGGAGAGATTATTAGATTAAGGTTAAAAAATGCGGTGAGCGTGGATCGAACACGCGACCTTCAGATCTTCAGTCTGACGCTCTCCCAACTGAGCTATCCCCGCTGAGTGGCATGTTACTTACATTTTACTAATAAGAATAAACTATACACTATGGCGCGCAGGTAAATCTAACCATATGACAAAATCAGTAGGTCCGTTGCAATTTATATTCAAACGAATTCGAACGCAAGAATAGCCATTATATGTTCACCGTTCATCCACTGAATGCCTAATAAACATTGTGAAGGATACCTGCAGAATATTCACATGATGATATACAACCATGTCCAAAGCAAAATAATACTTACAAATCCAATTTCAAGTATATAAACAGAAATTTAAAACCTCATCTATATCTTTCTACTCCTTGTCCAAAAATGATAAGACAATTTATTAACAAACAAAACTAAAAAAATAAAAATCAATAAATAGTGATTTTTACTGTTTATCATCTCATGAAACACTATGGAAGTACTGTAGATGAGGATGGTGTTTTTGCAATTTTTCAATTGTTTTGGGACATTTATATTTGAAATTTACCTCATATTTTATTTTGGTTTTTAAAGTTTTAAAATGAAAATTTTATCCCTAGTTTCATCCCTTTGCTTGCTGCATTAGGCTACTATAGTGGCCTGCAGAAGGCTTGCATTCTCTTTTTTTTTTTTTATCTTTTTTTTCCATCAATTTTTTTATTATTATTGAACTGGGTGTGAAAATTATAAAAAATCAATCACTATTTTTTCTCTTCTTCTTCTTTTTTTTTTTTTGTCGGTTTTTCTAACAATTTATGTTTTTTTTAATTATTGAATTGGGTGTGAAAATTATGAAAACCAATTATTATTTTTTTCAAAAAAATTAAAGATTATGAAATATATATATGACATATTTTTAGATTTTAAAATAAATATATATCATATTATATTACTCTTATTATTAAAATTTTATTTTCATTTTGCCATTTCTTATAAAAATTCTCATCAAATTAATTTTTTATTCTTCTTTTTTATGTAATTTTATTTGTAAATAAATATAATTTATTTTCTCTTGTGTATGGATTTTTGAATAAGTTTCTTTTGTAGTTGTTTTTAGTTGCCTTTTTTTATATATCAAATTCTAAAAATAAAATTCACGTGTTTTATTTATTTTATATATATATAATCAAATCAAAATCAATTTTGTAATTTTTTTATTACACTCTACTAAATTCAATATATTTTTCCAACTTAATTTTTTTAAAAAAAAATCGATTTATGTTGCATGCTCTAACCCAATGAATACGATCATGATGTATAAAAGAAATACGTTTTAGAGTTATTGATTTTATTATAAAGTAACTATATATAATGTATCTATACTCATAACACCAACCATTTGCTATCATTTTTTATATTTTAATTTTTTTTAAAATAATAATTGAAATAATATTTTAGAAGAACTGCCTAATAACTCAAATATAATATTTTATTTAATATTATTCATTATTTTGTAAATAAATGTATATAAATAAAATGTATATATTCTCAAAAGAAAGAATAAAAAAGATTTATTTGTTAATTTTGATACAAGTTTTATATTAATTGTTGCTTTATTTATTCAATATAATGTTATAAAAACTAATAAAATGATTTTTAAATTTTATATTTATATAAACAAGTTTTTATTTAAGAATAAATGCATAAAAAGAACAAATTGTGTTTTTTTAACTACAAAATTTATTTAAAAATAAAAACATAAATATAAAATTTTGATTAAAAATTATAAAATTAGATGATATTTTATTTTTAATTTAATATATCTTTATTAACCAACAACATAATACATATTATCAAATTAAAGTAAATATATTTAGTTTGTACATAACATAATATCGGAAACCAACTAGTCCATACTATTACAATAGGCACAGCTAAAATTGTTTAAGAAGCCGATCACGTAACCATGCTAAAAGAAAATAGTACTCTAATAATAACAACACTAACAAATAATTCCCCGGACCACTAATAGAATTATAGATCATCTAATTTATGGAGGCACACACATTATTTAACAACATCAAATTCTTTTTTGTATCCTAGAATGTTAAATTCTACACCCATTTCTATTTCCTAATTTCATTTAAAAAAAATAATATGTTAAGATCTTCCCCATATTTTTTTTTTTCATTCAACCATTAAATATGTAGAATTCTGTAGCGAGATACATTTATTCAAAGCATGAGATTCTCGAGGTGTATGGGCCTAGGATCCCTTGGGAATCCAAAAAAAGCATGAGATTCTCGTTCTAACATTTTGAGATGTCTATTTTTTTTTTTTTTTTTTTGGTATTTTACGTCATAGTTAAATATGTTTTGTATTAAATATCTAAAATGCTCATCAATATTTTTACTTTTCAGTTTTTTTATTTTTTATTTTTGCTTTCATACACAGTATAACACATATTTAAGAAAAATATTGTAACGAACATTAACAAATATTAATGGGGAGAGTGTATTAGTAATTTTAAAAAAACAAGAGGGTGTAAATAACAAATTTGATGGTGAATTTAATAACACCCTATTATATATATTAGGTTAACACTGAAAGATGTTTTGGAAAGTAAGTTTGGTAATATAAGCATTACTTTGAAAAAAACACAATAGATTAGGCAACGCAAAAGGTTCAGTTACTAACACAGGAAAAATCTAGCGTGAATCAACGCCATATGATTTGACAAATTTTTAAGTATCCAAATTAATTATTTTATTTTTTTCTATAGAAATTATCTTGATTAAAAAAAAAATCTAGAACAAGGAGAGGATGCGTGTGTGGTGTTTGTTTTGTTTGGGGGGGGGGGGGGGGGGGGGTGACGTGGGGTTGTTTGGGGCCGCATAAGTGTCTTAATGTACTTTTATCCAAAAGATCCTGTATGTTGGGTAATTGTTGAAACACTTTTTTTTTTTTACTGAGAATAAAAGGTTAAAAATAAAAATATAGAAATTGAAATAAAAATTAAAAAATTAAAATGGTATTTGTATTTCTATATTGTATTTGAAATATTAAAGAATAATTAGAATGTAAATTAAATTTTTAATATTTATTTTTTATATAAATAAAAATAATAATTAATAAAATAATTTTATCAAACTATAATAGTTGTTAAAAAAAAAAATGATGGTGATTGTGGTTGTAATTATGGTTGTTGTAGTGGTGATGGTTCTTGTGGTGCTTAATGTGATGGTGGTTTTGGTGATGCTTGAGGTGGTGGCAATTGTGGTAATGCTTGGTTGTTGTTGTGACGGTGGTGATAGAAATAGTTAATAGATAATGAATAAATAAAATATATTATTATTTTGAAAAAAATTATTTTCATTCCTTATTTTTATTTTCATATTTTTAATGAGAATGAAATTATATTTAATTTTCATTCGATTCCCACTTAATTCATTTCAATCAAACAATTGTAATGTGAGAATAAAACTTCTATTTTTATTCTCATCGCTCTATTCTTGATTATCAAATAGCACATAAAGGAATCTTTTGTTCCCTAAAAAACATAATATAAACTCGTTGGATTTGATGAAAGAAGATTTTTTTTTGTAACATGAATTACATGATTATGGGTTTAATGGCAAATTTTATCTTATTCTATTGTGATTTAATAATTTTGGATTCATAGTACCAAATTGCGTAATTTGAACCCAAAGTATTGGAGATTGGGCAAATAATATCCAAATTGCTCAATCTTCAATATATGTACCATTATTTGAAATGCCAAAATAGTATCGTTTTGGTATTATGCTATTAATTATGTTCTTTTAAAATATATATTTTAAAAATATTTCAACCGCCGTAATCTTGAACTTTTTTTCTTATAAAATATTGTAAAAATTAATATATATATATATATATATATATATATATATATATATTGCATGAATATTTTTAACTCCCTAGTTTTGAACTTTTTTTTTATTTTTTTAAATATTATTGTAAAAAAACATAATCAACAATACCCAATTTCGGACCTTAAAAAATATTTTATAAATTAAAATGAACATAATTAAGGATTGATACTCTAATTTTATAAATTATATAAAAAGATATTTTTTTATAAAATGTCTATAATATTTTATAAGAAAAAGTTAAATAAAAGTTCAAAATTAGGGGTTAAAAATATTTATAAAATGTTTTTTTTCTATAATTTAGAAAATATTTATAATATTTCATGAGAAAAAAATTTTTAAAAGAAAATTCAAGATTAGGAGGTTATAAATATTTTTAGAATGCTTTTTTAAAATAATTAATAGCAGAATGCCAAAACGTCATCGTTTTAATATTTCAAGTAACGAACAACTCGGTTGATCATTACACATAACGAAGATTGAACAATTTAAATCATATTTATCCAATCTTCAATACTTTAGGGTTTAAATTACACGATTTGATACTATGTATTTAAAATTGCGAAATCACAATAAAATAAGAATAAAATTTTTCATCAAACCTGTGATTATGTAAAAAGATAGGGAGTACTTGGAAGCATAAGCAGTCAGCAACCATAAAAAATGACGACGAAATGTATTGAGAAATTGTGTGAAATAACTTTCATCGTAGACGGATACAGCTATTTTCTAGGAGATGTTTCCTTTTATTTTGTAATTCTTGTTGGAATTTGCCAACACATATGATCATTGAATAACCAATAATTTAATGACCTATCACAATTTCACTAAAAGAAACACGTTGTTTTGTTAATTTTTAATTTGGAAGTAGAAAACCCTTAGAATTACTGTATATTTCTAAAAGGCCTTAACTTTCATATGCACTTAAAAACTGCTATTAAATTTCCTGGCAGGAACGGAGACATTGAATTACCAAGTACTGCCCCAGAGGATTCCCCAAAGCTTTCGGCCTTTGGGAGCGAAAATAGGTGGATTTGGAATTCTCCAACCCCCTCCCTCCTTTTTTTTTATTATTATTATTATTATTTGGAGTAAAACGGCAATGTAAGGTTCATCCCACTCGACAATCATAAGGCCTTGTCACTGACGCTAAATAAATTATTGGGAATATGGTCCGGCAGACCCTTCCTAACTCCCTCTGACCACCCTAGAAAGTAGATTAGGTCACGCATAGGAGGAAACTTTCATCGTATCTGTTGTATCATGGATTGCTACCTCTAGTTCATTGATTTCTAAGTATTTCACGCCATGCTTAAAACAGTAGAAGGATTATCAAATTGAACATCTTTCATTAGACCCATACGGTCACATATAGCAAGACAGAATACCGTGTCAATATCATGAATTGGAGCCGCTTACTTCAGCAAACTACAACTGAACTGGCCATCTGCTAGAACAAGTTTCTCTGCTTTGGTAACTGCGTCTAAAGGCAGAGGACTGAAACTCCGCGAAGGGCCATAAAAATGAGGGAAGCTGTTGGTACCATCCACGGCTTCATATACCAATCCATCCCCAAGCTGCAACAAACATGCCCATAAATTAGATGATCTATATTTCAGCGGGGAATTGAATTCATGAGACATCAGCACTGCCAAAGATAAGCATCTCAAATAATGTAATCCAAACTTCAGCATTACTGCTACGCGACTTCTCGTCAATTCAAAACAAAGGAAACTATACATGGAACCAATTGATTCATGCACTTCAAAATGGGACCTATAAACATAGTCTTGCTCACCATTTAATCCTTATTCCCTTTAATTAGTGGGCTCAGGTTTTAACTTTTAAATACCCTCACTCCTATTTCTACACATTTCTGTTGTGACCTCTTGTCCTTCCATTAGCACCTTCAAGTTGCAGAAACTTGAAACTTGTGAGACTTCATTGGTGAGTTTGGAAGTAATCCTCAATAAGTAACAGTCAATATATACTATTTCCATGCAGTTTGATAATAAAAGTGCAGTCCAATTTCTCATAAATATTTCTTCTTTCCTGCCCAGCTGATCTTTTCAAACAAAAACGGAGGCAAACACTTGGGATAACCTTATCTATAACTTTTATCACAGGAAAACATAAAACATCATCGCTAAATCAAATGATAGGAGGAAATGTTCAAGGAAACATAGTTTTCTCAAATTGGTGCCATGAGAAAAAAAGAGGCAAAGCCAACTAAAACACTTATCAGATTTTATCCTTAGATGCAAATATTCATAAAGTATTTTTACACTTCCAAGTTCCAACAATTCATCATCCCCAAACGTCAAATTCAGTTTGATACATGCATCACATGGAAAATCTGTAGCCTCACAATACCGATGAGGACTGATCAATGAAAGACATAACGAAAATAAAATGATAAAGACTAAAGTGCAAACCTTGTTCGCATCAATTTGAAGCAGATACAGATCCACCTTAGCATTCAGGAAAAAGTTTTGTAATGTTGACATGACCTGCAAATACATAAGACCGGCCCATGAATAGTGGAGCCTCAGTCATTCATCCCTCACTAGAAATGGAAAGATATCAGCAAGTAGAAATTCCCATCTTTGAAAATCGCATTTTATATATTGAATACTATTCCAGATTTTAGAATCGAATAACATTTCAATTAATTGACGAACAAAACCACCAAAGTCTTAATCGACTAATCCCGCGTTGAAAAATCATCAGATTTTCATGATCATACAGCCAATTCTTAAAAAATACACCTAAATAAGTGATTAGAAGCCTAATATCTTTAGTCCTTGTCACCGATTCTTGAAAATATCAATACTGATTATGAAAATTTTAATAGAAGGTAAAAATGCCACCATCGGTATATAAGAATTTGGACAAGTTTTGAAATTATTTTTAGAGAAGGAATCAAAGCACAAAAGCAATATCTATAGAGAGAAGGGGAGGAGCTGAAGAGGACCTGGTCGAGCTTGCTGAGGTGGATAAAGCCAGAAGATTTGTCAAGTTGTCCACCAAAACAAGATTCATTTTTCTGAAACTCCTCCCACTCTTTGTCTGTGCTTATCCTATACACATACTTCTCTTCTTCATCTTCCCTTCCACTCCTAACTTCCTCTTTTGCAGCCATTTTTCTACCTTTCTTACAACACTCACCACCGCTAGGCAGCTTATAAGTTGAAGGAAATGGGAGGATAGAGGGTGTTAGGAGCAAGGACTAAAAAAGGGGAACGAAATTAGAATATACTCCTATTTAACCACTGGAAGATTGTTCGACCGAGTTGCACGCGCATCCAGGGTTTGTCTTGATATTTCCGAAAACTTTCGGTTAGTTAATGAAAACCGACCTTATTTCGGTTCAGAAAAAAGTGTTTCGCTTTCTGCTTCGACGAAAAATATCAATTTATTTTTATCGATCCCGTTACAAAAATTATCTTTGAGAGAACTTTTTTTTGTTCTTTGGATGGTTGAAATGATTACCCTCAAAATAGCGTTTTTTAAAGGTTATCTTTTAGAAAATAGGGATGCTGAACATCACAAAATTGTGTTTTAGGATTTTGGTATAGTACTGCTTATTACAAAACCGATGAATTATGTAAATTATGATAAAAATAAAAACAAAATCTATTTTACATAAGTCATTAGTTTGCACTATATATTAAGTACGTATAGTTTTTTTAGTTTATCAGGAGTTTATGAATCTTAAGATACATAACAAAAGATAGTATTTTTTTATTACATAATAAACAAATGAAATAAAATTATTAAGATTCGAATTTGTTTAACTAAAAAAAATTATGAAATACATAAATATTAAGTCATGTCACATATATATTTTCTTTAATAGCCTTGTATTCTAGTCAAATTACTTGGCAATTAACATATAAAAAAAATTAAAGGGATGTGCTCAAATCCACTTATGTACATTAAAAGGTATCAAGCCTAAAATATAATCAAACTTAAAACAAAAAACATTTAAAAATTTAAAATTATTTCACACTACTGTTTTTACTAAGTTATTTCAAATCACCACATTTAATATCAAATTTAAAAATATTTATTAGATACACAAATAAGGATATCCGTTAGCACTTCAAAATTTAAGATCACACGTCAATCAAGTATGGTATCTCCTTATAATGAGATAGTAAAACATAAATAAAGCTGTGTGTTTGGTTATATAAACAACCAAGTTTCGATGAAATCATAAGACTTAAGTAAAACGATGTGTTTAGTCCCGTAATCAATCACTTTCAACAAGACAATATGCCTAAAGAAAATAAAGGGACACTTATCAAATAACTTTTAGCGCTTAATTTTCAATCCAAAGCAACTATCAATCGAGAGTTATTTAAAGAAGGGGGATTAATAGAATCGAAAACAATTAAGAAGATAAGACTTTTTTCAACACAAGTTTATTCAAGTTCTCTAGTTTACTCCATAACAATTAGTTTCTATTTTCCTACAAGTAGTTCGATACTTTTACCGCCTTCGGTAATTTCATCTTTGTAACTTAGAAAGTGTTGATTCGTCATTTAGCGTGAACAAATGGCTTCTAATGTCTCAATAGCTAATGATATAAGTTTTATACTTTTCAATTTATGATGTTCATATTTTTTTCAATGAATTTTGTCTCTTTCGATTGATAAAATTTCGTCTATCTATTGAATACTATTTCTTCCGATCAATAGCATTCCTTTTATTTTATTTCTTTTACTTTAAATTGAGTACTCATAAGAAGTCTTAATGGTTTGTTAAACGAAATCAAATCCCATAGTATTTCATCACGAAGGTCTTGATTATAAATTGAAGCATTTATGTACGCTGTTTTGAGATCAAATTCTACAAGCAACAATAACATCTAAAATTTACCAAACAAAACACTAAATAATTAAACAAAAATAGATTTGAATATCGAATTTTAAAACTAAATAATAGCTCAACTTTATTATTCTTCATTAACAGTGATATTTTGCATCACTTTCACAAATGTTCCACTTGCAGCAAGGTCTGGCTTACTCTTCAGGTTATTTGATAGACTAGATGACATGATTTTTTGTGTTGTTGATACGCTTTTATTACTCATAATAGGTCCCTTATTAATTTTAATATTTCATTCTTTCTATCCTATTCCCATATATCAAGGAAGTACAAGGGATTTTCTTCATTTTTATTTATTTATGTGTTATTTTTCTTTTTGGACCATAGGTATGCTGGGTCAAATAAGGACCTGGAGCCCAATAGAATGAAGCCCATCGCAACTTATTTCAAAGCCTCCCTCATTCGTTCTTCGCGTCATTTCAAATTAGACAAGTGCCCAGCTAACTGCTACCGGAAAAGTCGCGTTAATTCCAAGGCTGAGTCAGGCTCACTCTGTCTCCAGTCTAGAGAGCATAAGTAGCCAATTTTGCAGTTTCATTTCTTCAAAACTCGACGACGATCATATAACAATGATCACAGCAGCAGCGAAACCAGGCTCCCTCACTTCTCTCCAATTCCATTCCCCTCTCAACAAAGAACTCCCTCTTTTTTATTCCTCTTTGAAACCTCTCGAGTTGAAAAATCCTCGATTCTCTCAGTTTAACCTGACTTTGAAGCACACACGAAATGCGGTCATTATTCCTACAATTAAAGCCCAAAGCTCCCTGGTTCCTGGTATGCATTGAGATTTTTCAATTTTTTTTCCTGAAAAATAAATAATTCATGACTTTTGAATTTAGAGATAGAATGAATATTAACGATTTGTATTTTTTGGATTGTTTAGAGTATATTCCAGATGCCAAATTTTATAAGGTAGAAGCAATTTTGAGGTACTCTTCTTTCTCGATTCCCTGGCTATTACTGTCGAAGTAAAATGAGCTTATTGATTTTGGTTTCTCTAATTCCTTTGAATTTGGGATGAAACAGGCCCTGGCGAGTCTCGCATGTTTCCTCGGTAAGACCAGACCCGACCTGATGCATTTTCAATTATTTTGTACTCACTGCTGCTTTACTTATGTTTCCATGATTCTTCAATGTTGATATCCACTGCAACTTCCAAAAGTTTCCCTCCCTTTACTTGACTTGATATATCTTCAATCACAACCAGAGCCCTTGCTGGTGGGGCTTCTCAATTTTGCTTGTATTGAAACCAGTTATATCATAATACGTCAAATAATTAGCTCATTGGTGTCTGTCATGCCTCTTAGTGTTCTTGGTTGGATAGATTAAGGACTGCAGAGCTAAATTTGATGGTGAGTCATAATTTCATCTTGTTAGTAGGATAGGTTTGAATTTTCATTGAGTGTTGTTTCAGTCTCCCTGGGTAGAGAAGGATTCTAGGACCTTCAAGTTTGCTTCTGTACTTGTGGAGCTGGTGTTATCTAATGATGGATGAAATATGCTTATTAGAGTTCTAGCTGCCACGGTTTTGGAATTGGGATCATCTAGCTTGCAGTACTGGCCGATTGACTATTGAGAGAACATGATTAGAAGAAAATATAAGTTTGTAGCTTTGATCAATGTTCATTGGATCTTATTGCTGGCTATGGAAGCTTCTAACTAAGATTTTATCCTTCTTTTATGCAGAGAAACTGAAATGTCTGTAAGTTACATAAATTGCTGAGTTTGTCCAATTGCAGAATTGCAAAATACAGGGTGCAAATTTGATTTAACCATGCAGATTTCTGAGTTCATTATTGCTGCAACGCTTTATTTTATATCTACCTTTGTCTCCTGTGCTCTTAATGTTGAACTTCTTAAGAGTCTTTGCTTAGCACCTAAGTTGCTTACAGTTAATATTAATTTCTATTATTCTTTGGGAAATTGAAGGCTCTGTTGAAAATTGGTATCCGTGGTGTTACTGTTTCTGATGTTCGAGGATTTGGGGCTCAAGGTGGTTCAAAAGAGAGGCATGGTGGTAAGCTCTTCACTTGAACGGTTGAAAGTTTCTTTTCTTTTTATACCTCCAGATGCTCCATAATGAGTGACTTGATTATAGCTGTCTATTATAGAATCATCTCCCTTTCTGTTTCATGACCTTTCTCCCATTTTTTCTTGTTTTTATCCATTTTGGCCCTTTTGATGAATACTTTCTGTTAATCACATCTATATGAGTTGAAGTGGTAAAAATATTTATCAACCATAAACTTGCTTGTAACACTGCAGGCTCGGAGTTTTCTGAAGACAAGTTTGTTGCCAAAGTTAAGATGGAGATTGTTGTGAGCAAAGACCAGGTATTCATGAATAGCAGTAGCCTAAGTACTATTTCAGATGTCATATGTGCACTTAGAATTGATTATTGTTCTTCCGTTACGATGGAGTTATTTTTCATATTGCTGCACATAAAATAAAAAAACTAAACAAATGTGCATTTGCCGCGTAATTTTTTCATTTTGTCTTCTACATTATCCTGTTTTAGGTTGAAGCTGTAATAGAAAAGATCAAAGAGGAGGCATGGACTGGAGAGATTGGAGATGGCAAGATTTTCTGTAAGATTCCAAAATTAATAAATCTGATAGCATATTCCATGATCCTTTGATTTCCTTTGCTCTTTACCTTAAAGCTTTAATCTACGTATAGTATGCATGTGAAGCAACTGAAATTTTATCTGAACTTATTTTATTTTGCGTTCTATTTTACTCTGTTTTAGTAGTTTATGTGTTGTTATTTCTAGGATTGTTCCTCTTTTTCTTAGTGTCATTTATATATATGGTTCTGTGGAAATAGAAAACAGATTTAGTTAGTAAAAGTTCCTAGCAAGTGTGCTAACTGCTAGCATATTGCAGCTTTAGATAGTTATCAGGTCTTTAAGAACAGTAGTTTTCTAATATACAGAAGTTTCACCTTTTCTCAGGAGTTTTTCAGGGTTTCATTGTGTTCTCTTGTAACTTGGAAATATATCGTCACGGACCATTGTGGCTGTGATGGCAATCTATATTGCCCTTTGAGTATGTTTGTTGTGTAGGCTGCATGAAACTACAACTATCGATAGTACAATTGTTTATGTGCAAACAGAGAAGTACGAAAATGTGAACAAATGAATTTTCAGTTTTAAAGGTCATTTTCTTCTGACAGTACTATCCTTGATGACTCCCAGAGCAAATCTGTAATTCCTATGTGGATAGCATTGTGTTAACATGAAATCCTTAAGCTGCGAAGTTTTCCTGAATAACTTTGATTGCACAGGCTACAACATTTTGGACTCAGATGGTAGATTTGAACATGTGCCATTACCAACCCCCTCCCGCAACCATGCATGTTTTCTTTCCTTGTGGCTTCTTACTCCTCAGTTACGTGTAAGGTTCATTAAAGGATTAAAACGCAAGACATATTCATAGGACCCCTAGCAGGTGGCTCGAAGTCGAACAAAACTTGGTCAACTTTGGCATGCTCTCTTGTCAGAAACCATAGCTGTATCTAAACCGCAGCCTGTGAACTATCATAGAGCCACACTATATGCATGTGTCTCTTTTGCAGTCACCGTAAAGTTCAATAAAACTGAAATTGCAATGTACAATTCCAGGATGTAACCTTGATATGCGAAACCAAGCATGCTAACCATTTCTTGAGATGAATGCTAAAAGTTGTGATCGTGCCTTTTCTCCATCATGGTTTAAATTTTTTGTACCTCATGCAATCTGGCACCAGTATATATGTGTACATATTGACCTTGAAAAGTAGAGAAAGATAACCTTGTCACAGAATCAGTAGATAGCTTAGATATATTATCAGAACTTCTAACGAGTTTTTGTTGATTTGCAGTGGTACCTGTTGCAGATGTAATAAGAGTTCGCACTGGTAAGTTACTGATTCGTTCTTGTCTACTATTCTGAAGGATTGAGGCATGTATCTTCATACTTACCCTAGCCATCCTGTTCAACCGTTATGATGGTAGCAGGCTTTAGATTCGTCACAATTTTGACAAGACTCTTTCCTTCCATGCACAATTTTCAGGTGAGCGCGGAGAGAAGGCTGAGAGGATGACAGGAGGGCGGTCTGACATATCATTGACTGCATAACTAGTTTAAAAGCACCATGTGCAGTTCAAGATTTGCATCTAACATTTTCGTAGTAGCTAATCTAGTTAAGCATCCATCCTCAGCACCCCCTATCCCAGTCCTTATTAGAAGATTTGAACCTCCGTTTTTTCATAAGCTATCTTGCACTGAACGACTAGAAATAAAGGGAATGTTTATGCGCGTCTGTTAAGAGGAAGGAATAACAAGAATTCGTGATGGTTGTATTTGATGACGTGAAGGATTAGGTTGCACTACAATGGGCATGTGAAATTGTGGACACGTGCTTTGGGGTTTGTACTGAGCTATAATACGACTACTGCTAAACTGTATTTTATTAACCGGTGGACACTTCTCTCGCTGTTTCATCTGGTACCAACATAACATGTTCTTATTCCTTTTACCTAGGCATGGATGGTGCTCTAGGTGGTCATTGGAACATGGGGTTTGTTGGGGATTTCGAGAACTTCAGGTTAAAATCGGTTTCTAGGGTCCACCAGAAAGCTGTGTGGTCTGTAGAGAATCATTATTGCCTCCTTCTCTACAGATACAAATTCTGAATTGGTGAACTGGAGGTGAACCTGAGGAGGGACGAGTACCGGATACAAAAGGTTTTTGTTTTATTCGGTTTAATAAATACTTATTAAAAATATTTAATGACAATAGAAATGGATATAAATAAAAAAATACTTATTTACTAATATGATTTTAGGGTATTGCTTTTTTATCCTATTAATATTTATTAATTTATTTTGATTTTTTTATTAATATATAGAGATTTAATTGTATAAATTTTAAAAATTAAAGATCAAAATATTTTTAAAAAAAATTTAAAGATAAAAAAAAACTAATAAATTAATTAAATTTTAAAGTCCTGAAAAGTTTTTTGAAACTTATGGAGATTAAAATAAATATTTTTGATAAATTATTTTTATCGAGTATTATATGAGTACTAAATGAGTTTGGTAAACTAATATAGATTCGACAAAGATTATATAATAATTTTTTAATAAATAATAAGTAGGTTATCTTTTTTATTGATAGGGTAAAAAATTGAATTAATAGTTGAGTATCTGTTAATTGTCATTCTTAATCTTGTGCAAGTTTAGATTTGATTATTTGGCTCTCTTTTGCCCTTTTAATCGCGACTCAACCAATGGCTAGCTAAGGGAAATTAACTGGTTCTCGAACAAATGGAAATGCTAAAGGAGGGGAAGAGAGGAGCTCGCCAATTGTAAGGTCTCATAAAATTCTTAATTGGAATAAATTTTTAACTCTCTGGAAACGATTTATGTAAAGCCTAAACTCTCATCTAACCTATCTACCCTAGGGCGTGGGAAATCATACACTATTATTTTTTAATCATTATTCCTTTATCTTCTTTATTTATATCTTCCTCTTTTTTTGAAAAAGACTCTGCGAAAAATGTTACTAGTTAGAAAAAATATTGTACCTCTAACACCCACCATTGGATAGGATAGGAGACTCCAGCTTGAATGAAGATTTTTTAATTTAAATAAGTCTAATAATAATAATGCCCAGCCCAGCCTTCAATCCTCCTAGATGCACACAAGCAAGTTAAGAGGCAAAGAATTTCCAACTGTCAGGATCAGAAAGTCCTAATCCCGAAATGGGAAACGCATCTCCTATTTCCAAACAGGCAGCATTCTCCAACCAATGCAGGCAACAACGTGGTACTAACGGCGTAACAAGAGCAACCCATTTGCAGGCGACCACATGGTAAAAATTAACGGCGTATTGCACAGTTAAAAAAGAATATGGAAACAGGGAAAACGATCCCGTTAAGTCCTCTAAATACACACAATTGGGCCGTGTAAATAGTTGGCGTGAAAGACAGCTGCTCCTCCTCCTCATTTTAATTCCCTTTATTCTCTCCACTGAGGTAGATCTCTCTCTCTCTCTCTCTCGCTCTCTCTCATCTTGGCTCCCTGTGAGGCAAGTGTTTTTCTCTTTCATGATCCCTAAATTCAGAACCCTAGATTCTAATCTTCTGCTCAATTCCTATCTTATTTTTCTTAATCGAATTGTTAAATGTTCGTGTTTCGTATTTTATGTTGTTGCTTTTGTCTGATCTAAGATTTAGAGCACGATTTAGTTTCGTAATGGGTTGATCTTGATTATCATGCGATGCTGCCTAATGGATCTCGTTTTATATTATGCTTTTGTTTTTGCATGGTTGACATGTGATGATCCCTTAGAGTTGGATATCAATAGATGTGCAACACACCCTGTTTGGTACCTGATCTGTAGGATGTCAGGTCTAAATTCATGTATAAGTTGTCAGTTTTATGTGTTTTTAATTGAATATCTGAATTCTATTCGTCTGGATAATCACTTGCTGTTGCGGTTTTTTTTTTCTCTCGTTATGTGCTGTTGATATGATCTTTTTTTATTAGGATTCCAATTCGTGATTGTTTTTCTTTAAAAAAATGTGCAATGTTTTAAATCAAGCTGATTGAGATCTAGTTTCTGATAATGATGGCGAATTGCATTTGATTAGCTTGGCGGATTTTCAATTAGTGAGTTGATTTTGGATTGTTGATATCGGCAGACGTGAGAAAATGGGGCTGTCTTTCACCAAGTTGTTTAGCCGACTGTTTGCTAAGAAGGAAATGCGTATTCTGATGGTGGGTCTCGATGCTGCTGGTAAGACTACCATTCTCTACAAGCTCAAGCTCGGTGAGATCGTCACCACAATTCCTACCATTGGTAAGTCTCTCATCATTATGAGGTCAATATGCTTATTGTCTTGATTTGAAATTTATCATCCTCCATATATTCTCTGTTGACTTAGATCTGATGATGTTGTTTGATCAGGATTCAATGTGGAGACTGTGGAATACAAAAACATTAGCTTTACAGTTTGGGATGTCGGGGGTCAGGACAAGGTATGCGTGTCATATTGAGTACCGATGTAGCTTTTTTCTTTTGCTTGAAGGTTGTTATCATTCTTGGGTGTAGTAGATGTAGCATCCTTTTCCATGTCACTAAATGATGCAGAATGGATTGAGTTAATTATGAGGAAAGCAATTAAATATGTTTGCATTCAAGAACTGAAGCCACTATGGTTCATAATTTCCTTTTTATTTTATTGAAACGACGTACATGAAAATGAGTGCTTATGGACGGTCTAGTGCTGGTCTTTTTTCCTCCATCAGCAATTAACATATTCAATGCTAAAATTGTTTTGCCATTGTGTATACGCTGCTGTCTCCTTTGATTATATAGGGAAATGCTTTATATGGTGGCTTGCATTTTGAGTAATCCACTAGTGTGAGTATTTTTATTTGTACCGCCTCTTTGCTTGACAACATCTGTAGTTGTGTCACATTCTGTCATGTTATACCATTGTTTGCTTAAATCTTTTGCTTGACTATTAGAACATTCGGATGCATGATTGTGGTCTTTGTGAAATTCTCCAAGTCAAGCTTGTCTTATCAATCTCGTGCTATTCCTTTTCTTATTGAAGTATTCCTTGTTATAGTCAAATCATAAATGATTAGATCCATGCTTGCTTTTATACATTGCCTCTAAATTTGGATCCATTTACAACCAGTCTAAAGATTTAAATGTTCTATCCCTTAATTTGTTTATTAGCTGATGAACTATTATTTTGCGCTCCCAGATCCGACCCTTGTGGAGACATTACTTCCAGAACACACAGGGACTTATCTTTGTGGTTGATAGCAATGACAGAGATCGTGTTGTTGAAGCTAGGGATGAGCTACACAGGATGTTGAATGAGGTAGCAGAATGTTTCAGAATTTCCTAGGATTATACATATGGAACCATGAAAAGCTGCAGATTAATAGAGCATTCATGTTCTAATTTGTCTTGCCGGTACCTCTGCATGATTTTTCTACGCTCATAATACCTTTCGTTGCACTTGCAGGATGAGTTGAGGGATGCTGTGCTGCTAGTGTTTGCAAACAAGCAAGATCTTCCAAATGCAATGAATGCTGCTGAGATAACTGATAAGCTTGGCCTTCACTCTCTTCGTCAGCGCCACTGGTATATAACTCTCCCACCCTTCTCCTCCAGCAATCCAATTTTCTCTTGTAATCTGACTGTATATCTTTAATTGCAGGTATATCCAGAGCACATGCGCCACTTCTGGTGAAGGGCTGTATGAGGGATTGGACTGGCTCTCAAACAACATTGCAAACAAGGTAGAATCACATGGTATTCTGAATTTTGCTCATTCATATGTGATGATTGATGGTTTGGCTAACTCTGTTTTTCTGGCTGCAGGCATAGATGGCATAACTCCAAGTTCTCAATTGCAATGAGTGCTGGAATACACAGTCTATATTTGTTTTGTATTCTGGATTTTCCACCAACTCATTTTTCTTTACCTGTCTAAACATGTTTGTGGTTGCTTTTGCAAACATTGCCATTTGTTTCGTAGCTTCAGAATATTTCGTAAATTTTCGTTTTCATCATGATGTTATCTAAATAGCATGTTTTGTTTTTCAGATATTTTTTTGAAGGTAATGAATCTTGACTTCTCTTTTTTCCCTTCCCTTTCTAGTTGCCTAATGTGGTGAGATTACCCAACAGTATCATCAGTAATATAGAGGGTGGGGGGACACTTAGTGCTCCACTTGGTGAAATATTTGCTGTAATATGGAACTAGCACCAACATATTTTTAAGCCTTCAGTCTAACTTTGCAAGCAATTTTAGGTATTTGAAGAGAGTTGGAACTGGCAGTAGAAGTAATGCAAGTTATGAACTTTATTATTTGGTAAGAGAATTCCAAAAGGTGTCGTTACTGTTCAATATATTTTTATCGAAGGTCCAATAGCCTTTCTATGGAAGGGATGGTAAGGTGAAGCAGCTCAATGCGGGGCTTCATTTGTAGAAACTGAAAGGGTTATTACCCTCTTAAGAATTCTTCAGTATCGTGGATCTTGCGGATTAAGTAGGATACGTTTTATCATAATCTCCAACTCTTATATTAGAAGATGGGATAGAAGCTTCTCAGATCTAAACGTTAACAGAATCTGCTCGGTACCAAAATAAACCTAAGAAACAAGGCAAGCCAGGAGTAAGTAACTTATTCTACATGGATTAGTGAGGGAATGAAATGTGAAAGCAGCAGCAGGCAAGCTCTAATGATAAGATAACAGAAAGCTACAAGAAACAAGGTGCTTTGTAGGTCAGTGATCATTTCGCATAAGCAAAAGAGGGGATGGGGAGGGTCTCAAAGTTTGAGCCTGGCTTTTGTCAAAAACTCCAACAAAATGGTAACACCCTAATCCGGAAAGAAAAAAGGAAAAAAAAAAAAAAAAAAGGAACAGAGAGCTCCAAGAGACCAAGAATCGCTAGCGGCAACCAATAGCTGATCGTTCCTCAAACCCAACTTGAGAATTCTTAGGGGAAAAGGCTTTAAGAGGGTTTTAGATGAAACTATTTCTGAGCCCAAGAAGAGAATAAGCCTGCAAGTGCAGGAGAGAACCTTCATTCTCTAGGTAACACAAGTGGTTTAAAAAGTACCTACCAGTGGTTTAATTATAAATCAAAGATCAAAATCAAGTATTAAAATATTTACTAATTTTCTTATACTTCATGTTATGTATAATTTAAATATTTATTGCAATACGTCATCAAATGTAATCGATTATATTCTTGGAAAGAAGTTGACAACAAAATTATGGTACCATACCGGGAATCAAGAGTGTTTTAAGATTTGACAGCTTGAAGAAGTGCTGAAAAAATGGGCCTTGTGTACCGAAGCCCTTGAAACTTGACAGAAGAGATCCAAGCCCAATTTAACCCACAAATTAACTTAAACAGACCTAGACCTCCCCGGTCACCCCTCCAATCGCGGAACCTCTCTCTCTCTCTCTCTCTCTCTCTCTGAAGCAAGACGCCTGTCTTATTGATTGAGGCATAGATGTCCAGAAAGAGAGCTTCGCTTCTGACAATCAAATGCATCACTTCTCTATCAAAGGTATGCTGTTCAAGTAACTCCTCTGAGTCTATCGTTTTTTTGAAGAATTTTAGCACTGCCACAGAAAGATTTGATTTTCAAAACTCTAATGGGTATCACGCACGGAACTCTAATGAGCATTACCATGACCCAAATGGGTCTTATGGTTATTACAACCAAAACTCTAGTGGAAACAGCTTAAACCCTAATGGGGGTTTTAGGGAAAGCCCTAGAAATGATGTGTGGAACAACCCAATTGGAAAAAATGGGAACTTTAGTGGGTTTCATGGGAAAAATCATGGAGATTTTCAGCATAACTTGAGTGGAGCTTCTTGGGAAAGAAGTAGGAGGCAGAATCAGAGTAACCCAGTTGAGAAAAATGGAAACTTCAGTGGTTATTATGAACGTAATGATGGGAAATTTCAACAGAACTATGGTGGGGTGGGGGGACAGGATAGTCAAAATGGGTTTAATGTAGGACATGGAAACTTGCAACTGAATCAGAACCAGCCTGGGTATAATTCACAATGTTTTTCAGAGTCACAAGGAAACCCGAATAGAAATTACACTAAAAATGTTGAGAAATTTCACGATCATCACATGGGAAATGGTGGACAGTACCAGCAGAACCAGTATTTTGGACAATACCAGCAGAATTTGAATGTTGAACAATATCAGCCTAACTGTAATGCTTTTCAGAGAAGTATGGAAGCTTCTCAAGCATCAAACTATGCTAAACCTGAAGGGGATTCAGCTGGATCTTCTGAAAGTAGCTTGACTAGAGGTTCTCTGGAGGAGCTGGATGAGTTTTGCAAGGATGGGAAAGTGAAGGAAGCTGTGGAATTTTTGCAGTTGTTACAGAAGCAGAGTGTTCCTGTGGATCTATCACGCTATTTGCAGTTGATGCAGGCATGTGGAGAGGCTGAAGCTCTAGAGGAAGCAAAAGTGATTTACGACTGCATTGTAAGATCACAATCTCCTCTAGATGTTGGCACGCTTAATAAGATCTTAGAAATGTACTCAAAATGTGGTGCCATGGATGAAGCGTTTAGTGTATTTGACAACATGCAAGAGCGCAATTTGACTTCATGGTATGTTATGATAACATGGCTTGCTAAGAATGGATTTGGGGAGGATGCCATTGATCTGTTTAATCAGTTTAAGCAAGGAGGACTGAAACCTGAAGCAAAAATTTTTGTTGGGTTGTTCTCTGCTTGTAATGTCTTGGGTGACATCAATGAGGGAATGCTGCACTTCGAGTCCATGTGGAAAGAGTTCGGCATTGTTCCATCAATTGAACACTATGTGGGCATTGTGGACATGTTGGGAAGCAATGGATATCTGGATGAAGCCTTGGAATTCATTGAAAAGATGCCAGTGGAGCCCAGTGTAGATATTTGGGAAACCTTAATGAATGTCTGCAGAGTTCATGGGCACTTGGAGCTTGGAGATCACTGTGCTGAGCTTATTGAGCAAGTAGACCCCTCCCGCTTGAATGAGCAATCTAAGGCAGGGCTTGTACCAGTGAAAGCTTCAGACATTGCAAAAGAGAAAAAGAAGAAGACAGAAAGTCTAAATCTTTTAGATGTTAGGAGCAAGGTTCATGAATATCGAGCAGGGGATACATCTTTTCCTGACAGGGATAGAGTTTATGCGCTGCTCAGGGGTATGAAGGCCCAAATGAAAGATGCTGGTTATATTCCAGCGACAAGATTTGTGTTGCATGACATAGATGAAGAAAGCAAGGAGGACGCTCTTCTTGCTCATAGTGAGAGACTTGCTACTGCTCATGGTCTTCTGACCACTGCTGTTCGCTCTCCTCTTCGAGTTGTCAAGAATCTTCGTTTTTGTGGTGATTGCCACAACGCGATGAAGATCATCTCGAAGCTTGTTGGCAGACAACTCATCATGCGAGATGCCAAGAGGTTCCATCATTTCAAAGATGGGTTCTGCTCTTGTGGGGATTATTGGTGAAAAGGATGTGCTTTGAGGTAAAATCACATTGTCCTGTTTCTTTGTTTTCAAATTTGAAAGACTTTAAACTTGTGCTGTTATTGCAATTTGGGTTAATTTTTTCTTAGGCATTAGTCATTCTAGTCTTCTGTTTTGAATTTTGAACTTTACTTTTAAATTCACTCTTCTGTTGTTGGATTCATATAGAAATTGTTTTGAACCAGTCTGAAGCGATGATGGAGAAGATTGATGGCCATGATTCATATTTGTCTTCTTATTCTGATAATGACATTTTTTATCCTCTGAAATAGAAGATTTTTCAGCATTGTGGGAGAAAAACTGTCCAGAAAGTTTTGGGCGGCGGCAAATGTATGCACACAATCATCCTCTCGCTCTCTCTATCATTTTACAATTTTTTATTGATTGATTTATGGTTGTTTTACTTTTTTTTATATATTTAATTTAAAATATGATTCTAGAATGGTAAATGGATTTCATTTATTCAAAGAGAATGATCTGACATTGCCTTGTTTTGTGATTGCAGAAGAGTGATTAGATAATTTTTGCATCTACTGTTCTTTTCATTTGCTGCTTGTCAAGGCTAGAACAATAGATTTTGTTTCTATTTATTTGTATTCTCATTGGGCTTGTGATTTTGTTTTAGGCTTTTTTTGGTAGCAATACTGAGAATGATTATAATATCACTTGTAGGTACTTTATGAATGATTTTTAAGTCCTCATTAAACACGAGAGACTCGTGGTTCAAGTTTTGAAGAATTTTGCTTTGCTTTTTTTTTCTCCCTGCCCTAGGAAACCAAAATAGCATGCCCTTTAGATATATTTCTTAAATTCAAGTTTAAGCTGTCATTTTAACGAGATTGGGTTCTTATAACTTTGAATTGGTGAATGTTTTAAATTTTTCTAATAAGAACATCGGAATTCTGGAGGTTCATGGCAACTTTGAATCACTGTCAAGTAATCTTATATTATTACGATTTTCTTTTGCTCGTGTCAATTTAACATGTCAGTATGTTCTGCCATTACTGTTTTTGTTTTATGCTGGAATATAGTCAATGTATATGAGATCAGTAATTATCATTGATGGTAGTTTTTTTCCCCCCTCCTTAATGCACACTATGGTTTTGAAAATATTTCTCCAGCAACATTGTTTGCTATTTGGAAGAACTAGATTTAGGTACTGAAGTTCTCAGTTTCTCTGGTAGCATTTTGCAGCCTTCGGTAGTTTTTTTTTTTTTTTTCAGGTCTGTCAGAGTTGTTCTAATTTTCTAATATGAATGAAAGCTACAATTTTTCTTGGGACTCCTTTCAGGATTCTGCGTGTTTGTATGAGCTCTTGCATTTCAGAAAGATTATATCTGAAGAAACATTGTGATGGTAATGGCAATATACAATGCCCTTTCAATGTGTCTTTTGTAAGGGTATGAAGCTAGACCGGTACAAATACAATTGCTTTTAGGGAAATAGAGTAGGGACACGTGAACAATTAAGTGAACTTCTATCTAAAAGTTGTTCTTATTCTTACAGTACTAACCTTATCGCATGCAGAGAGATTCTGCATTTTCTGTGTGGCTATAACTGCATTAAATGAAATACCTGAGCCAAAATTTTTATGATTAATCGTTTTTACTCTAGCTACAGCTAAAAGTTTGGACTCGGAGAGTGGATAAGAAACAGCATCGCTAGATGTTTCACTTCCTCCTGATGTCACATACTTATTTTCTTCCCTATTGCCTTGTCACCCTCCTCGAAGTACACTGTAGTGTTGAAATGTGAGAAGTACTTGTTGGACCATTGGCAATTGGCCCAGTAGCAAAAAAACTTCGGTCGATTTTTGGCATTCTTTCTTGTCAGAACTTGCAGCTGAATCTCAAGCTTGCTTTGTGAGCTATCAGAAAGCCACAATTTGCACTTGATAAAACTGATATTGCCATGTGAGAAGTCCAGGATGTTAAGCTTGCTACCTGGAATGAAGCTGGCCAGCCATTTATTGTTGTAAGAGCTGAGCGATTGTGATCATGCCTTCTCCGTCATAATTATATTAATTTATACGACGTGCAACATGGTGCTAGTATATGCATATCAAATGTGAAAGAAGATAAAAGATAGCTTAATCTCTGATATATTAGACAGCTTAGGTAACTTCTTGATGTGGTTTCATTGATTTGAGTTCATACTGTTAGTCATTGTTTTTGTATCACCAAATTTCAGCTATGCTTGTTTTCCCTAATCCCTATTATCTTGAAGGATAAAAGTGTGTGTGTGTAGGACCCTTTAATGTATGATTTGCAGGTGAGCTTGGAGAGAAGACTGGGATGACTATGGGAGAGTGATCTGACATTACCTACGCAGAATGACTGGTTGTAATAGCAAAATTTACATCTAACATGTTTGTAGAAGCTACTGAAGTGAAGCACCCATAATCAAAATCCCTTCTTTGGACCTTAGGTTTTGTGCTACCACTTCTATGTCTCAACTTGTGTTTGAATGATAAAAATAGAAAGATCACGTCATTTTGAAGAGTCTCTTGAAATAAGCAAAAGGCATAACAAGGACCCACGATGGTTTAGTTACATTTGATAATCTGAAGGTTTATGTTGCACAACCATGGGTATGCGGACTCTTGATGTGAAGTTTATTTCTACGCTTATATAGTTACCTTGTATTTTACTGGCCTGGGACACTTCCGTCATTGTCTCATCTTGTACGAAACTTGGCATGTTCTACTTCCTTTTACCTGCGCCTGCATGTTGTTTTGGTATCTTCTGATCATGAGGATTTTGGAAATTGCAGGTTAATAATCGTTTCTAGAATCATTGGAGAGCCGTGGTCAGTGGATTCATTATCACCTCGCCCAAAATAATGTAAATCCCGAGTTGGTGAAATGGAAATGGTTTTATGCCTCATTTAGATTTGATAATTTACTTAGCTGAAAACAGTGAACAAGTGAACGTGGCTGAGCTTTGTGTTCCTTAGATTAATGATATCTGGTTCTTTATGTATCATCCGTCGATGATGAGACAATATCAGGACGACACTCCATCCAGCTCCTGAAGGATTAAATTTTGGAATGAATTGGTGTAGTTGATTGTTATCTTTTCTTTGTTTGTTGGACATCCAAAAAGGGACGAATTTTGTTGGTCTGAAGCTCTCAGAAAATATCCTGAAACCACCCTGGGAAATTCTCTCTGTTGTATTTGAATCTGATTCCGACAGTTAAGAATTTCTAATGTACCTAGAAATAGTAATTCTGTAGCTGACTGGGTTTTACAAACGGCTGGAACTCTTGGTTTTTCTTTTGACCGGGTACGATGCCCCCACCTACTGCCCTTCAAGCTTCAAGGGTGGTTGTACGCTGATGACGAGTCAATGAAAGAGTTCCAGCGAAAAAATAACGCGGATGAATTTAGTGGTGGCCATGCCCCCCGAGTTTGAAAAGTTTCCAGATCCCTCTCGAACTTAAAATTTTCTTTACGGTATTTGTACAAAAGGGCCCAAAAAAATCAAACCTATTCATTCTGCCCCCACTTTACTATAGTCTGAACTATTGACTCGTCCCTCCTTACCTAGACTCGCGGCTATCGAACATTTTAGGTGAGAGCTTTTGCTCTCTCGATGATTGTAAGATAGGATTGGGGATTGTTTCTGATTTTCAAAAGCACGCTTTCCAGGCATAATCAGAATAAATTTCACAGGTGACAAAAAAGACTGCTCATTGCAAAGAAATTTAGGGCGTCTGCTAATAATGTACCAAACGATACCCTGCCCTCTCCTCCAGGGGAACTGAATTGGTAAGGTTATTTGAGTAAGAGCAACAAATCACAAATCACGACATCTGAAAGAAATTCTATCAAATCTGTAGTCTAAATGTTATGGAGTGAGCCCTTAAGATCTTTAGTTGCTGACTCAAAAATAATCCTTAGTGGCCAATTCCGTGAGTCTCTTGACCTTCTTGAAAGAAACATCGGTTGGCTTGTGCCCCTTTTCTAACATCTGAAAGAAGCACTTCTCTGATTCTATCTCTCGTCACAAAGCAACTCAAAACAATTCATCAGATGGTGAAGTGCAAGAACCAAAAGCCTTCTCCATCATGTCCTTCCGCAGAGACAACGCCATCTCTACCGTTATGTGCTTCTTAAACAACCTGAACAAGAACACACAAGATTGTGCATATGGAAAGCGCCCATCACCCATCATCTTCCTATGCAAGCTTCATGCGCTGCTCAAGTCATTTAACAGATGAAAAGTTCAAAAGAAGACATGGTAAATCGTTGAATTCGGAATTATACCCTTTGCCTACCATCTCCCCATTAACTTGTAAGCATCATCATCAACCCTGTTTGCTGTACAATAACCCTTAATAGCAGCATTTATGCCACCACATTCGGATAATATCCGAATGCCTGCATTTCCTTCAAAACATTTCTAGCTTTATCAGGCTGAGTGGCTGACCAACCAACCCCGCCCCTCCAATGATGGTAGTATACGTGACTCAGTGACTGCGTCTGGCAAGACACCCTCTTCTCTTATTTTCTTAACTACTTCGAACGCTTTTTCAATCTCGTTGCGTCTACAATACTTGTCAACCAAAGAGTCATATGAAACAACAGTAAGGCTGACACCAAATTCTCTCATTTCCTCAAAGAACAGCTCCATTTGGTCCACTGATTTACTACCCGAAATGAGTATGTTAAACGTTAGCAGATTTGGCACAAAATCTTTCAGCAATCTATGGTAAACTATTTTGGCATCAACCAAAGTCTTTGCTTCACATAATGCCCGCAACAAAGCATTGAAGCCATCAGTATCAAACACAGGAACCAATCCTCGAACCTATTAAAAGACTCCAAAGTCTCTTTAAAAGAGCAAGCCTTGGCAATTCTAACTAAAACCCCTTGCATAATTTGTGAGGTTATCAAAGAAGGATCTTTCCTTTTGATTTCCATTAAAATATCCCAAACATGACCAAAATTATGGATTCTGCCTCATATAAAAAGAATGGCATATAAAGAAGATGGAGAGGCAGAAAACCCACTTCTAGTTGCGGTAAAGTTGAAGAGTTGAAGTGCTTTTCAAGGGGTTCCATCGCCAAGCTTGAACCTTTTCAGCACTCCATCAATCAAATCATTTGAGAGAAAAAAACCCACTTGACTTTAAGGACTGTTTGGGTATTGAGGAGAGTTTGAGCCAACAACGATAGGATAAATGGCTTCAATGGCATCGATTTGGGAGGAGGAGAGGAAGGAGGAGGAAGAGGAAAAGGGATGGATAAGGGCAGCAGAGTTTAAAGGCAGAAGTGAGGTTTTAGAAGCGTACCTTGCCTTTGGTGGAATCATAGTATTTGTGAGATTTTGATCGACTGATAGTTGGGTTTGCTCACTGCAAACTTCAATATTGTTAGATTGGCAAAACGGCAAAGAAATCGAGACGGCGAGGAGGATCTAAACGAGGATGAACGCTTCTGGGCCAAAGGCACAGTAATTCAAAAGCCTGAAATGCCAATATATAGTTTTCTTACTACGTATTCAACTTACTCATATTTTTTCATTAAAAATAAACTTCTAATTTTTTTTATATATAAATTCGAATAATTTTATAATGAATTGGATTATGTATAACTAAATGGAAAATGATTTATTTAAGAAAAAAACAAACAACAGAAATAGGAGTCCTCAAGAAAATATATATAAATTGTCAAAAAGTTATTTACATGGACCAAAATATAATTTTATCCCTTTTTATTGGAGATAATTTTTTCTCCAAATGTTCACGAGCAATGAATTTTTTTGATAAAAAAATATTATATTTTTTTCTTTAATTTTTGTATTTAAATCTATTTGAGTTTAGTTCAGAATTTTATAGTTAAAAATTAATTTTTTTTATTTTTTTTAAATTTTGAAATAATAGAATAATTTGAAGGGATAGTTCACTCCAACAAAAAGAGAAAAAAATTATAATTTGATATTTTAGAGATAATGGACACTTCGTTAGTTAATTAAAAAAATTAACAAAAGCACCGCATTGATAATTTTAAAAAAATTAATGTAGTCAAATTATAAAACTTAAACTTTATACACTTGGGTTAGAAAAAAAAACAAATTTATAATTTGATATTTTGAAGGTAACATATATGTCATCATTTAACAAAAAAATTAATAAAAGTATTTAATTTATAATTTTAAAAAATCAATATATTAAAAAAATTAATATATATCGATTGAACAATTAAAAATTAGTATATTAATGATGCCTTTATCCTATAAGTACATTCATGCCATTATTAGTATTGGTGTATGGTTCATGACTTAAAAAATAATCATATGTAGGATTATCGGTGGTCTTATATCTGTGTGGGCGGGCATGTCCCTTATATAATTTTTTTTTCTTTTAAAGATAAATAAGCACAGCTTTTATTGAATGTTGTAAGTAGAATTGTAAGAAAAATATGTCCAGCTCACCAAATAAAAATTCAATTCTCACTTTTAAAAAGTTTATCTCTATCTTTAGTTTGAAACTCAACATGAATTGTTAGTAGGTTTAAAGAATCTGATTTTTAAAATCGATTAAAAACTAAATATAATTTGATGTTATTTTGATTTAGAAAGTAATTAATTGAGTCTCAATTAACGTAAAAATTGATTAAAAAAATACCCCAATGCATATAAATATAAAAAATAACAATAATAATAACTAAAATTTCTAAAAAATATATAGAACCGAACAGCTTACATATAGCACTAAAAGGATGTGCTCGCTGTATGAAATTATGGGTAATATGATGTCGTAAATTTTTCTGAAAGCCAATTTTTATTTGTCTCTTCCTTTAAACCAACACACATACATATACATATAAAAAGAAAGGCATAATGCAAGTAGTCTAGCAGAGAACCAATACTAACACTGCAAGAACAAAGACGGGGGAAAAAGAAAAAGGAACACCATTTTATTAACTCATACATTAATGCGGAAGAATCCTATCAACGGTTATCAAAATAATTTCTGACAGTTTAATAACATTGTGGTTATCAGTTGTTATAGGTGACACCCTAATAGGATCTCTTTTATAAATATTTTCACAATCTATAACCCTATTGGTTCCATCTCTAACCCAGTTGATCACATCCATGTACGCCTTGGCATTTGATGAATTGTAAGCACCTCGAAACTGGCCCAGGGCATCGTTGTAATCAGTCTGACAAACTCCAAGTCGTTGCTTACCAAGTGAGTCACTGGTTTGACGAAGAATGCCAGGAATGTTGTCCAAAGTACCTTGCACTTGAATAGTGGGCAAAGAAATAGATATCAGGGCTAAAGCATCCAAGTTGGCTGCTGCAACACGTGGGTCTGTGGCTAGAGTCCTATTGCAGAAGTCGGGGTCCTGGGACTCCTTGCATATGCTCTGAAGTAATGCTGCATCGGCTTTCATTCCAAATCTAATGGCTGCAATGTGAAAAGGGCAGTATACACTACCAAGGACTACCAAGGGGAGGATCAAAGGAATAAAGCAAAGCGAGAAGCCATTTTTTTGCTCTCTATGAAAAGAGAACGTAGAATTAATTGGTTCTCTGTCGTGCGTGTGTGTATATATATATATATATATATGTATTAGATGGCCGCATTAAGGTAGGGTAGGAATATAAGAGGAATTATCATTTTTGTTTCTTTCTTATTCTTATTCTTATTATTTTCTTTTTTTATGAATCAGTCGATGTCATATCGGGGAACATTTAACATCCTATAATTGATTGGGATCTGTCATTTATTCTCGGTCTTCGGCTGTGCCAGCAGATTTTTATCGTCAAATCCTCTCAATATGGTATTTCTAAACAAGTCATGATTTCCTTCCTACCATGCCCTTCCCCTCTGCTAAATTGGGAAATATCACCTTGAAATTTGAATTGTCTGAAAGGAAGGAAAGAAATCATTGCCAGCCCTTTTTTTTTTTTTTTTTTAATGTTTGAGGGTGAAATAAGGATGCAAATCCAAGATTCTTGAGCAGGTAATCGCTGCTTTATTGGTATGGATAGAAAATGTTTTTTTTTTCCTTTATTTATAAACCATTTCCTTGAAAAGGCGAGTTCAAGATTTTTATTAATATTATTTTAAGGAATCTAACCATCAAAATATGTTTTCAACATTTATAAACATGTCATAGTAACTAGTTACCAAACATTATTTTTTATCCTAAAGCATAAGAACCGAACTAATGGCCTTCGTTTTTGAAGGTCCTTGAAATTGGACTGTGATTCAAGAATCTAGCTAGATCTAGTCACGTCTGGTTTAGCTATTGAATTTTTTAGAGTTCGTTTGGTTAAATTTTATTATTGTATTTATGAGGTATAAAATGATCAATAAATACTCTAACATACTAAAAATATCTTAACAAAAATATTTTCTTTATTTTAAATTATTTATAACTCTTATACTTACATAACATGTGTCCATATTTTTTATAAGAGTAATTTTTAAATTTAAAAGACTAATAAAAAAAAGCTTAAATAGGATCATTATACACACACAAAATCAATGATATGTATAGTCACCTGATTTATATGTTTTAATTTTTTAAGTTTTAATTTTTTTATTTTTTTGCATTTTGATAAAAAAAAATTAATTTGCATGAAAAATTGATGGAAAAGACAGTTTTTATTTAAAATACTTTTAGAAACATATAGAATACAATTAAAAACTTAAAAATGCATGAAAAAAAATATTATATAAAAAATGAATATAATTATTTATTATTATTATTATTATTAGACCAAAAGTAATTATTTATTTGATTGAAAAGACTATTTTTTATTATTATTATTATTAGACCAAAAGTAATCATACTTTAAAACCTACCTTTTGGTCAATTAATGTAATTTTCCAATCAAACTTTCGCGCTTCCCATAAATTTGACATCAAATGCAGTTACATTCCACGTTAGAAAAACAACATATGTCATGAAAAAATACTCTCAAATGCGTGATTCTATTTCTCTTTTAACCCAACAAAAAGGACAAAAAGAAGAAAAAAGGAAATTAAAAAAGGAAAAACAAAATCGAGAAGAACTCCTGAATGCCTTTATTTATTTAAACCACTTGCGCCTAGCCAGATTAATTTTTCAAGACTTCTTTCACTTGATTTTCGAACCTAGACAAGATTCACATAAGAACTGGTTTGAAAATATAATTAAGAAGAAAGAAAACAAAAACAATATCCATAATCTTCTCTCTCAATCTCAGGGCAATCTACAATCTTCTACAACTGCCAACATTAATTCAACATCCATTATATACCAGTACTTTTGTTAAAAGTCGCAAGATTGAAAAAAGAAAACCACATCAAGACAGAATTTCAACGACAAGCCACTACGTGCCAAACTACACAATCATCACCAATTCGAAGTGTCACAGATACGAGACTCCATCACAACCAACACCAATTGAAGCCGTCGTGATTGTCAGATCAAGTATCGCCCCCACCAACATAAATCAAACATTAAAGTCGAGTGATTTTCCCATGGTTCTAGATCTCGTCACTGAAACAACCAGTAACCCTTTCCTTCATTCGTGATTTGGATTTTAACCGAGAGTAAAGGGTGAGAGAGGGAGAGGATGGTGGCTTATATAAATTTTGGTGAGTTAACTTGCTTTCTATATATATATATATATATATATATATATATAATGAAGCATGAAATTGTCCATGGATTCTTCGATTCTAGAAAGGTGAGAGCATACGAACAACTAGTGGCATTTAGAGATGAAAACTATTCGGTTAAAACTGAAAAAATAAACTAAATTTGATCGAATTAGTAATTTCTATTTGGTTTCGTACAAAAATTTGAAAAAAAAAAATCAAAACCAAAAATCAAAATTATTTCGGTTCGGTTCAGTTTTTTTTAAAAAAAAACAAATTTTATCGAAAACCGAATTAGTTTTTTTTTTTTTAACACACACTCTCAAGGCTCATAGCAAAATTAATCTATTAAGATTTGAATCCGTAACCTCTTGCAAGAAACCACTATCACGGGGTTATAAGTTCTTTAATACTGAATTAGTTAAAGACAAGCACTATTCAATCTGTTATATTTGAATTTTTGATAGACATGAGACCACTTAGACTCTTGTCGTAGCATTTTTTTATAATTTTCTTTACTAAAACTTCGATTCAAACTATTAGCATTCCATGAAAATAAAAAAAATTACAAAAAAGTGGCCTTTTAGCTTGGTCCAAGAGAAAATTAAAAATTCAAAAGAAAAGATGCAAAAAAAAAAAAAATTGGTTTTTAACCAAAAACCAAACCTAAAAATTTGGTTTTTTAACAAAAAAACTGAACCTCAATTCGATTCGATTTTTTTTTTAATGAATTTTATTAACCGAAAACCAAAAACCGAATTATCAATCCTAGTAGCATTTGGTTTTAGAATTACAGTAGTAAACGATAGCGTTTAATTTAGCACTAATGGCCTTAAGTTTTTTTTATATATTTTTTTTATAAAAAAACATGTTAGGACATGTGTTTTTTATGTAATGTATCACGTGATTTTACATGAGGTCAAAACTTACTGGATGAATATAACTTAACAAATGAATATAAATCTAAATAGTCAAACTTACAGAATAAACATATTTATTAACGGATGAATGATACTAAAAAATAGATTAAAAATCCAAATAAAATTAAAAATAAATTAAAAACTTATTTTCTATTGACTAAAAATTCATGAATAGTATTTAACCAATTAGCATATATTTAACCCACTTTCTAAGTCAAACTTGTGTTGGTAACTAATTTTTTCACCCTTATTTTTTTTCCTTAAAAAAAACACAAAAAAAATAAAAATAAATAAGTACCTAAATTAAAAAAAGAGAAAAAACAATTAAAATAAGTGGCTCAAATTAGTTTTGGGAGGTTTAATTAAAAGAAGTAGGAAGTTCGGGAATCAAAAGAAACCTAATCGATGGTAAAATTAAAAAATCCAAAACCCCAAATCCTTAATTAAAAGAAAACAAAGGATACAATTGGTAGTAATTTAAGAAAAGATCCCGATTAATTACAATTTAGGGGTGCCATTGAAGTTCAAATAATCCAAATTGCATTTAATTTGATGAATTATGAAGAATCAACGACCAAAATTGATTTTTACCCAAAAGCCCTAATTTTAATTTATAAATACCAATCTTTCTCTACACACCCACTATTCATCATCTTCTCAAAAAATTTTCAATCACCAGCTCCATCTCTAGCCGAATTTTTAAGTCTCCTCTACCATTGAAAATCACTCTCCATCACCTCTTAAACGCCATCATTCAAACCTTCGCTATCCACTAAAGTTATGATTAGTCTTCTCTCCTAACTTTGTCAACCACCGTAGCACCTCCACACATCCAACCGCCTTTCATCACCCATAAAAACCTCCACACAAAATACTTATTTAATCTAAATTGCCAAACGACCTTTAAAAACTCACCAATCAACCCATCCGACCCGTTGACCCACTAGACCTATTTTGATTTTTTTCTCATTAATCGATCGATTTTCTATCAAATCAAACTCTCATAATAACCTAGAATTGTTCCCCACTTGAATTTGACCAAAACCCCTAAAAAATCCAGTCGAAAAACACATGAAATTGTCGACAATTAATAAGGTAAAGTCCATCCAACCCGTTTTCTTTCCTCTCGGGTTTGGCCTTTTTCTAACCAAATTAAGAGCTATCACCACCAAAAAAATTTTCCTCACCATCCCAAAAGCATTTCCCCTTTGAAATCCCGGTGAAATCTTATCAAAATTGATCTAATTGGAATTTGGCCCTTTTCCGACCAAATTAAGAGCCATCACCACCAAAAACCGTCCCTCACCATCCCAAAAGCATTTCCCCTTTGAAATCCTGGTGAAATCTCATCAAAATTGATCCAATTGGAAGAGAGAAGATTCAATCAACTCGTTTAGCCCATTTACTCAAACCCATTTCTATCTTTATTTTCCGGCCAAATTACCTCGATTAAAGGCTAAATGAACCTTCCGACAAGTCCTAGGAACATTTCTCAATAGATTTGGAGCCTAAAAACCAAGTATCCTCATCGAAATTAAAGAGAGAATAAGAGAGAAACTTGGTCAAAACTTAACCAATGTCGATCTCCCTCCTCTATCAATGACGACTTGTGCCACTACCACGGACAGTGTAGTGCATACCTCCTTCCACCCTATGGGCCCTTCCATGTGCCTCCTTCCACCTCGCGGGTCCCTTCACGTGCTCGGATTTGGCCATAGCAACCATCAATGATGGCTGGATAATGACAAGCATATGTAATACACGTGTTGATGGTATTTTTATAATTTTGATATATAAGGGTATTTGGGTCGTTTCATAACCGACTAGGGACATTTTGATCATCACATAATAGCCTTTTTGAAACTCATAAATAGATGCTTCCTCTTTCTCGGTTGACTAAAATAATCACTCTTAATTGAGATTGAAGTAACATTGATCCGAGAGAGGGACTTGTAACATTCTCATGATACTCGGATAACTTTTAAACTTACCTAAACTATTTTAAATGATAAATGAAAATGATGAAAATTTTATATTATGAATGTTTGAGTTATCAAATATTTTATTTGATTATTTTTGAGATTTTTACATGCTTTATGTTTATTTGAAACGAAGTCGTTGATGACTTTCCTACTTATGTGATGAAGCCATCAATGGTTTCTAAATCAATTTACGTGTTTTCTATTCGTTTGAAACAAAGCTCGCTGATAGCTTCTCACTTATGTGATAAAATCGTTCGTGGTTTCAAAGTCATTTAATATGTTTTTTGTTTGTCTAAAATGAAACTATCGGTGGCTTTCTATTTATATTGATGAAGGCTGCCGGTGGCTCCAAACTCGTTTTATTTGATTTCTAATCACCGAAATGAAACTCGTTGGTAACTTTCTACTTATGTAACGAAATTGTTAGTGATTTTGAAGTTATTTTACTTATTTTTTGTTTGTTTGAAATGAAATCATCGGTGACTTTCTACGTATGTGATGAAGTTTTCAATGACTTCCAAACCAGCTATTTGCTCTTTGTTTGAGCAAAATGGAGTTGTCGACGACTTCCAACTTAAGTGATAAAATTATCGATAACTTGTTAAACTCATGATCCGAATTAACGATGGCTTCCTACTTGTGTGAGCGAAGTTGTCAATGACTTTATTCATGTCAATAAAGACTATTAATCTTTAAAAACTCACTTATTTATCTCGTATAGATCGTATTCACTAAAAACTAGCTAAAATTTCAATCTCCCCCACCTTTCTCCTTTGCGTATGGGAAAATGTTATCGGTATAGTGTTATAAATTTTGTCATCTATAATAAGAATACTAAATTCATACTTTTTCATTTAAAAATATATCTTTATTGATTAATCAATATAAATTATATTACATTAGTTTGATATTCCAATACCAAAATATGGATTTTTCAATAATAGTGAGAACTAGTAGAGATTGTACTAATGAAGTATCATTAAGGTATATGATTTTTTTAAAGGTATATAGTAGGTTTAACTATAAAAATACCATTTCTCTGTTAGTTCGCTTGCAATATTACGCTTAACCAATTGCGGAATCAATTTTACTTTTAATTAATGTTATGATCAAACATTTTCAATATCGCCCTTTAATTCAATATTTAATAACAATATTTAACAAAACTATTAAATCAATCATATTTCATGCAAGCTTTTATAAAATTATGGAGTGAGGGAAAGAAAACCTCGTTAAAAAACTAACACTTGTAAAACGGGTGCTCGTTAAAGACTTTTTTTTTTTTGAAAGGGGGTTTTGCTAACTAATAACCTCCTGCTTTGTTGTTTATATTCGAAGCAAAGATTTGTACTCCTAAAAACATGTCTTACCCTTTAGGCCTTCACTCGACTATTCTTATTGCATCATTATCTAATTTGCATATAGGAAACAAGACTCATTGCATCTCTCTCTATCTCTCTCTCTCTCTCTCTCTCTCTCTCTCTCTCTCTTAATAGGAGATTCACTACATTTAATCGGAACAACAACCAAGCATTGAGGATGAAAATTAATAAATTACTTTCTTTGTGGCACATAGGATAAGAAATAGCATAAAAGCTAAGACTCAAGAATTCCACTCCGGACCAAAAAGCTTGTAGCTCAATGATAGTGATCTTTTGTAACAAGAGATCACAGATTGAAATCTTAGTAGATTAGTTTTGTTAAGAACCTTGGATGTGTGAGTTAAAAAAAAAAATTACACTCCAACTAGTAACAAACAAAAGTAAAAGAATAAGAAAAAATGAACAATGATTTTCATTGTTTATCTCCTCACAAAACATTGTGGATTTACTCGTAGCAATTGTGACATTATTATAATTTTCAAGTTATTTTTAAACATCAATATTCATATTTTAAATAATGTTTTATTTTGGTCTCCGAAAATTTAAAATTGAATTTTTAATCCTTGAACTGCTCGCACTCTCAAGTGTGCGGCTAGAAGCGAGTCCAGCCACGAAGCGAGCCTTAGGCTCGTAGAAGCCAAGCTCACGGGCTCTCTCTTCATTTTTTTGTTTTTTTCCCCCACCAATTTATGATTTTTTTTATTTTTATAATTATTATTGAATTGAGTGTTAAAATTATTAAAAAACTAATTGTTATTTTTTTTCACACAAGATAACGATTATATAATATATACGATATATTTTTAGATTTTATAATGACCATATATATCGGATTATATTACTCCTATTTTTCAAAATTGATCTGTTTAAATTGTCATTTCTTATAAAAATTGTCATAAAATTTATTTTTATCCTTCTTTATGTAATTTTATTTTTAAAATTTCAAATAAGTTTTCTTTGTATTTTTTTATTTTTTTATTCTTTAAATAATCAAAATTTTAAAATAAAATTCACATTTTTTATATAATCAAATTTTATTGAAATCAATTTTGTATTTTTTATTACATTATTAATTTCAATATATATTTTTTAATTTTATTTAATTTTTTATTTATTTATGCTACACATTCGACACAATGAACACGGTCATGATGTATAAAAAATATTAAATTTAATTTTAATATTTTTTAATATTTTATTCTACATATAAAATCAATGACCATATCAAGTAAGTACGATAATTGATTTTATTAAAAATTAATTATGTATTTATACATATAATATCAATCATTTGTTATTGCTTTTTGATATTTTGAAATTAATTTCTTTCAAATAAAATAATTAAAATAATATTTTAAAAGAGCTATTTAATAATTCAAATATAATTTTTTATATACTAATATTATTTATTATTTTGTAAATGAATATATAAAAATCAAAATGTACATATTTTTTTTAAAAAAATATTCTCATCAATATTAAAAAAGAATAAAAAATATTCATTTGTTAATTTTTATGGAGATATTTATATTAATTATTTATTTCTTTATTTCTGCAATTTAATATTATAAAAAAATATTAAGTCGCTTTTTTAAATTTTAAATTAAATTTATGTTTAGATTATTATTGATTTCTATTGAAAAATAAATACATAAAAAATATATATATTTTTGAACTATAAAATTTATTAAAAACATAAAAAAAATAAATACAAAATTTTAATTAAAAATTATAAAATTAAATAATATTGTTAATATATTAAACTTTATTAAACTAGTATCTCCTAAAAGAAGAGCCTGGGTACCAGGAGGAGCGAGCGGCCAAGAAGAGAAGCTAATTAACAGTACCACGAGCACACAACTACGCCAATAAGTCAGCCGCTCGATTACCTTCACGCAACACGTGACGAAGCACAGACTGCCGATATCGATTGACCATGGATCGAATATCATTTAGCACACGACAAGGATAAGTAACGGAGCAAGTTTCTTAAATGGCACGAGCTGCCTCCAGAGGGTCGGTCTCTAAAGTCACAACTCCGCAGCCTATATCCCAAGCAAGAGAGCCCAGCACGGATGGCTTGAAGCTCTGCTAGCATGACATTAGTAACACTAAAAAAAACCTGAAAATTCCGATAACCAAATGCCATTATGATCACGTAAGACGCCCCGGCCACCGTCCAGTTCAGTAACAATGAGTTAGTTACATTTGCTATGAGAATATTATTGACGAGTTAGTAATCACTGTGACTGTGAACTACAGGGTCGACTATTGCAGAGAAAAAGATGGGGACAACAGAAACAGATGGTGGGTTTAAATTTAACTATTAAAATAGTAACATAAATATATTTTCATTTCACCGTTGCTGCGGTACGTAGCTTACAATGGCACACATTGATACAGCGCTAATCACAGATTATCAACGACGACACATCCACCTATAACCCTCTCCAGCAGCTAGGACGGAAAATAGACTTAACTACCAAGAAAGAAAATGCCTAGGGACTACCATCGGTCAAAATGAAGTTTACTCCTTTTAATTTCCTAGACAACAAATCACCACCCCCAGCTTTAAGAGGAAAAGGATTTCTATATTTCTCCTTCCCTTTGATCAATTCCAAATCTAGAGTTTGTTGCTTTGCTCTCTCTTCCCACCTCTAAGCCGCAGATGGGGCGGTGACATATTGAACAGCACCGGCTTCAGATAGAGCTGCAATGAATGGCTGCAAGTTCACTGGCTTCGCAGCAGTACCATCCGCCACAGATTTCTTGTAATCCAGTGATCCATCGTTGTAAATGTCCCACCATTTCTTCACCAGCATCTTTATGTCTTCTCTCTGCATGTTCTCTTCTTTGCCAGTGTATCTCCATGGCTTTGAGCCCTACATGTAATACCAGCCAGTAAATTTAGTGACAAAATTATTCATTTTCATTCCCAAAAAATAAAAGCAATGATTCAAAAAAGAATTGAAATACTCACCGCTGCACAGTAATGAACAACTTTGACTTTGTCAAGCTCCACATTTTCTGGGTGACGCCATAACATGGCAAGAACAAGATTGTAAACTAGAGGAATTGGCTTGTAAATATCCTTGAAGTAGATGTTCAGGAAGTCCTGCCAATTTTAATTTCTTTTTTTAAGTAAACCATTAGAAAAAAAATTATATCTAATGACCATCCAAATTATAGATCAAAACTCCATATATACCTGCTCTGCAAATGAGGTAGGAGGAGTGACTTTGAGGGTCTCCAAGAGATCATGATAAGTGGAGATGCTAGGCTCGAACACAAACATACCAGCATTGAAGTAAAGAGATGGTGGTTGACCCATCTCAGCTGGCCACTTAACCTTGTCAGGGCGCTGCTGGCAATAGCCAATCTTGTATTGTGGAGTGTGGCTCCATGTTTTCTCACAGAAACAATCCATCACTGCATAGAAATACCCATCAGGCAGATCAAATAAGTGGTCTATGTTGTCATAAACCTGTATATCTCCATCCAAGTATATCATCTTGCTGTATTCCACAAACTGCAATTAAAATCAAACACCGTATTATTAACATTAATATATGAACATATTTAAGAAAAATAAATAAACGCCCGGTACGATGCATTTAATTATCCTAAAAAACCCAGCAAATCAATACTGTACGACAAACTAAAATAAAGTTCTTTAAATGGCAAGATTGCCCTTCTCGATGGTTCCGACTCAATGAGGTTTAAACGACGGCATTTTTCCGTCCATATAAAAATATACCACGTAATTTTTCAGAGCGTAGACAAAAGCATGCAATGGAGGTCAGGCCAGGCATATACAATCCTCCCACACTAGATTGCACGTGTGTGAACAGCACTACCCAACAAAAATCCACGTGTAAGTAACACAAAAAAAGTTATGTACGTACCTCCCAGATACGGAGCTTCGAGTAGTTGATGACATAATAAGCCATGGCAAACTGGGTCTGGTTCTCTGGCGGGTAAACGGGTTCAATTTCCCGGACTATGCACCCCTGTGACTCCAATATCCGCCTGTGTTCCTCTGGCACGTCGGGTAAAACTGCAACGATTAACGGGTATGCCGATTTGACCTTCCTTAATCCTTTGGCTAACCCAACAACACCTTTCACGTAATCTCCATTACCAGCCAAGAATGTTACATAAGCCCGGCTAAGTAAGCTAGCAGGTTTGGTGAACCCGGCTGGTTTCAAAGCACCTTGGACAAGCTCAGGAGCCATGTTGCGGTCGCGGGAGATGAATGTTAATGAGAATGAGAGAGAGAGGCTTTGAAAGAGAGCTTGAGAGGGAAGACAATGGAGAGGAAAGCGGGCTGCTTTTTTGCTGTTGGCTTTGCGTTAAGGGCTGATTCTTAGGTGATGGTCATTCGGTGAGCAGAGGGGTTTAAATAACATAAATGAATGGGATATTACGGGGATTTTTCCATTACATTTTTAACTGTGATATTGGATTTTTTCCTTACACGTGTCCTTATTAGTTGATCCAACGGTGGAGTTGGAGCCTCCCGGAAAGTTCTGGAAAGGGCCCTACGCAAAAATAGGGTCTATAGAAGGCACTGGAAGGAGCTATACTTGTTATAAGAATTTGGAAAGCGGGGTGGCAATTGTGTGTGACTCGGACTAGAATAAGGTGTTGGTGTTTCTATTTATATAATCAAATCAAATCTCTCATAAGTCGCCGGAGTCTCGGAGATTTGTGTGTCGGTACATTTAGCAACCGATATTATTTTTTCCTAATTAATGCTTTAATTAGTTTTTTTTAGAATGCTTCAATTGGAATTGTAATTAACCTATGGATAAATAAGTGAAAATTATTACCCGAAATAATCAATATTTGGTTTTTATCCATCAAAATAAGAAGTTCACTCAATCATTCTAAAATTGACCTTCGTGAAATAAAACAATCACCCCAATTAAGTGGCATGAAAAATCGACATGAACGCACAAGAGGCCAACCCATTGCTTCTCTTGAATTTGTCGTATGTACATCCATTACGTGATACTGTACAAATTAACAAAGCAGAAAGAGAACTCTCAAAAAATATGACTGCATGGAACGCATCTGGAGATGATCCAGGCGCCCCCCCCCCCCCCCACCACCGTCTCCGGTGCATAACGATGGACTCAACCTTCACGTCAAGACGTCTGTTTTGATTCTCAGGGTGGGGGCCACACTCACTCTATGTGATACTAAATGGATCCACCGCATAAAGTTTGTGGTTCGGATTCTCACGGACCTTTGCCATGTCTTGTGGCTGTCTGTATCTGTTTGTCCTACCCAGAGATTGATTGATCACATGCTGTCAAAAAATAGTGTTGACAATACGACGTGGCAGGATCATAACAGTCGTGAAGAATATCGCGCCAGCGAAGGTGACCTTCGCGCGTTGATAACGGAAAAAACCAAAGAAAGTGGGCCTTTTAAAGGTGATAAATTTTAACGGCTCACAACCCTTACCGTCCCTGTACTAGTACATGATATTTAATCAAGTCACCTTACTAAGAAAAGAGTTGATTGGGTTTCTGTATGTTGGCGTCTCGCTTCATATCAGTCCTCCGTTTTGAGACACTGTCAAGAATTAACGATAGACACATTAAAAGCATGTCACATGTATTTGTCGACGGTATTGAACCCTACATAACAAAAAATTTCTAATTTTATATTTTAGAAACACATTCTGTATTTTCAAAAAGAAATAATAAAATAAAATATAAACCATGTAATTAATTTCTTATAAACTCATCTAATTATAATTATTTCAAATAGGATATGTGTCAAGAAATATTCAACACCTCACTTAAATCAACATTCTAATAAAACTAAAAGGATGATTAAAATTAAAACTTAAATTAAGAGAATTAAACATGAATTAGTACAAATAATTATCATACTTTTTTAAGGGGAAATATCAGAAAATAAAAATCTGCAACTTAGTTATTATTGATATCGTCCCAAACCTCTTTAATTTCTCAATTTTATTCTAAATATTTATGCAAATTTTCTCAATATCATCCTTCATCTACTATTTGTTTACACAAAATGATATACACAGTAACTGTTTTGGTGGTTTTATCATCAATTTTTTATATATATATTCTATTTTAACGATGCTATTGTCAACATTTTTTTATATCAAAAAATTTATCCATTCTTTATCCATCTATTATATTCCTTGCCATCATCATAAATTTATTTTGCAAATTCTTAAACACCAAAAGTTATGAAAAAATTAGTCAAATTTTGGCACATTAAGGACTAGTTCAAACATGTTTATTAAAATTAAAAAGTAATTCGAGTTTGATCTTAAAACTCGTTCTATGGTCGAACAAACCCCAACTCCACTCATTAGGTTCCTGAGTTTGCTAATATAATTTTTTACTAAGGATACCAGCATCCCACATCAGAAAGAGTTGATTTCAGAATTTAGTCAATTTATAAGTTTTTAATTTTACCTTTCTCCTTAATTATATTTTTTTCATGGGACAAAACCTATCACGAAAAATAAGATTAACATCTTTTGAGAGGTCAGTCATGTAATAAATTTAAACCAATATCATTATCGGTACCGCTAATGAAAACATAAACTACGTGCTCTCCTCTTGCAAATTTTAAAGAAACTAAAAGAACTAGGGTCTGTCAACAGTAAGTGAATAGTAATGAATAGTACTCTTGTTTTTTTGTTTTTGTTCGGTTTTTTTTCTTTGCTGCTGGGTTGACTAGTAGCCAAGGCTTGGCTCTTGGGCACGCACGCGCCAGGTCTTGGCTGCCCAGCCTGGCTGCTTCTTTTTTTTTTTTTCATATATCCAAGCCTTGGTGCTCAGTTTGGCATTCTTTCCTTATATATATATATATATATATATATATATATATATATATATATATATATATATATATATATATATAGCTCATGATTAACAAACATATTTTTAGATTACAATGATCATTTTGAAACATTTTTAATTTTTGATGTTATTGTAAATTTGTAATGGCTGATAATTTTTTGATATAATTTTATTTCTTAATAAATTTGAGTTTTTAATATATGAATTTTGGGATAAAATTTTATAACGTCAATGTTTTATTTTTAAAAAATATATTATTATAATTTATACAATAAATTATTTTTATATTTTTAAATGAGTGTTTTATTTTTTAATGTGTGTGTGTGTGTGTGTGTGTGTGTGTGTGTGTGTGTGTGTGTGTGTGTGTGGGGGGGGGGGGGGGGGGGGGGAGAGAGAGAGAGAGAAAGAGAGAGTCAAAAGCATGTTTTAGATGGTTTGACTCAATTTTTTTAAAAAAAATAATGAGTTAAAAAATTCACAAGTTTTATTTGCTTTTATATATATATTTATTCATAATTTATCGGAACCAATTTTATTATAGTTTTTATTTTAATCTATTGACTTCAATATATTTCTATAATTTAGGTGGATTTTTTTTTTGTATATTTTTCTATTTATTCTATATAATCTCAATCTTATATATATATATATATATATCATAAAAAATAAAACTTTTTACCGATATTAAACCATACGAATTGTTAACCAAATGTATATAACGATCATCCGATCGTAGCATAGTATGGGTATCCTACTAGTTCTTCGGTCGAAAGAGCTATAATGATACCAATAATTGATATTGCAAGGAATCAAAGGTTTAGGCAACTTAGGCAACTTATAAGCTTTTGTCATCACCACTCTTATCAAGAGGTGTCTTTTGTTGACAAAATTCACCATAAAATAGTAAGTTCGTGCATGAGACAACACCTATTGAGAGACCAATAGTGTAATAATTAAATTTAGACCAATATCATTGATTATTATTATAATAAGTGTACAAATCACGTGTTGATAAATACTAAAGCATGAAATAAAATGATAATTAAAAAAAAATGTTAACAAATAAAAAGCAAACGCTACAAGATGATGTCAAAGTAATTTTTTATATTTATATCCGTGGTCATTTTAATATATTATGATAATACAATTCTTTTTTTCCGTTTTTTTAATTATTAACTATTAATACTTGTGATAATACGATTTTTTTTCTGTTCTTTTAACTATTAATTATTAATATTAGAACTACGACTGGCTAATCATTGATTACAACCTACAAGATCTTATATATGATAAAAAAAAAAATACCTTCCTCATTGAATACTTTAAAAAATGGTAATTAATTCTCATTAAAGATTAATTAGCTTTTAAAAATATCCAAATATGAATAAAAATATTATATGGTTTGACGTTTAAAACATGTGTTTTTCACTTTAATTTTTCTTTCCAATCACATGGAATATGACTGAGATAATTTTATTTATTAGAAGAAAAATATTGTATTTATACATATAAGCTAGTTTGATAAAATTATTCCGAACACTACTATTTGGAGCTAATATGATACTGTTTTATATTACAAAGAATTGTAGAACTATTAACGATTTTACCTTTGACTTCTTAAATAAATGAAAGGAAAAGAAAATGAAAATGCACGTGGCAGCTAATTCAAGATGAAATATCTAAATATTTGGAGCAACATACAACGTTTCTATTGCTATATCTAGAGGTATACCATGTTTCGTAAAGGTTCTTTGGTCCAGTAGTTGATAAATGATAAAGGGGTGTTTTCGTGGATATGATTGTGCTGTGTTCCAAAGTGACTCGGTATTTAATCAACGAGGTTAGAAGAAGTTTCTTCCCCTCCTTGTTTTTTTGGCCAGTCATTAACGCGCTCCAAAAGTCGTGTACTTTATTCGGTTTGGTTACCAAAAAGATGTTGTTGTAACTATACATTGACAACAGGTTGTCAACCAATAGCTACCCCTTTCTTCTCGTGCCAGTTGTTCAATTCATTTTGGTCCCAACTGGAATATTTGGTCCCTAACATCATCATCTTGAATTTTCCTTGCCCTTTGTTCGACTAGTATCTTCTGTGAGTTTTTGTTATTAATTGCAGCACCTTTTTTCCCCCACTTTTAGGGTTTTAAATTAGACTCCCAGTTATCGGTCAATATAATTGACCAACTTAGAGCCTCTAATTTAATTATGGGCTGTGGTTTGTGGCTCTTCTTTGCGGAACCATCCAATCACCGTATAGAAGGCTGAAGCATAATCTAGATAGCTGTTAATTCATCTAAAAGAGATTAATAATCTAGATAAAACAAGTCATTAATTAATCTTAATATAAAATCAGGAATCCAACATCCCTCCAGTTTGGGATATCTGGAAGAATCAACATCAACTTGGAACGGTGACATTGTCAAGTATAAAGCATTAAAGACAGGTGTATTTAAAGCTTTGGTACCCCGAATACGCCTGGTTTCGTGGCGTAGGATTCAGGCTTATGCGATGGTGTCCTATGGGCGGAGTAGGTGTCAAACGCTTTGACATATGGCAACCAATTACATCCAGAACTTCATTCAAGTATACACTTCAACATTGGATTTCTTTTCACCCTAAAAAGACCTTTGTAAGGCTCTTTTCATTCCAGAACTTCCTAGAGAAGAGACTTTCAGCTAACCCGCTAATCGGTGTTTTTCTTTTTCTTTTTTTAACGTAGGTCAATCTTCTATGTCCCATGAATGTAGTAGATGAAAAACACATTATTGGCCTATTCTGGCATAGCAACCAATTATATGATGAATTTCATTTGGATTATGTTTGGTACAGTAGATAAGATATAACAAATAATATTAAATAGACTAGATAATAAATAAGATTAAATTGTACTGGACTAAACTGGACAGAAATATGTTCTTTGAAACTAAAGTAAATTTTCCTAATTCTTGTTATTATTTTAGAAACCACAAATGAACTTCAATTTCTCCCCTTTTCCATGAAAATAGAAGAATTTGTTTCCTTATTCTTTCTCTAATAGAATTGTTTCACTTAATACCACACTAGTCTTGGCTATACAATTCAATATAACTCAACACGCAAGCCTAAAAGCAAAAGGAAAAAATCCATTTCAATAAGGAGCGAACACTATTTGATTTAAATAAAAAAACCGATTGAAATTGGCGTTTCGATTTGGTTTTTAACTAAAAAAATTAAAACAAACTGATTTTTATTTGGTTTGATTTTTTTGGAAATTTTGGTTTGGTTTAAACTAAAAAGAAATTTTTTTAATTTTTAAAATAATATAAAAATATTAATATCTTAATATTATTATAGATTACATTGTATTAAAAAATGAACAAATTGAAACCAAAAATCGAAACTTTTGGTTTTTAAACCGAGTAAAAGTTTATGATAAACGGAAACAAGCATGACGGAGCCCAATGGACCAAGAAAAGTCTTAACTGTAACTAATCAACCCAAGCTACAACGAAAGCCCAAAACCCTTTCCTCTGTTCAAGTTTTTTTAAGTCGTAAAATAATACAAAAAATCAATTCTTTAAAATTATTATAAATATACGACGAATTGATGATGTTTTAGTTTATTACATTATGTTAAAAAAATGAACAGATAAAAAAATCCTTTTAAATAAAAAATAGAAACTTTGTTTTTAAAACTGAAAAACCAAATAGTAAGGATGTTCGAGTTTGGTTTTTGTCTTTGTTTTTATAGGTTTGTTTGTTAAAAACCAAACTGAAAAATAAAAACATCAGCTCTATCAACAAGGTGATTTAAAAAAAAATTATTAAACTACCACTTTTCTTTTTTATTCTTAAAAATATTACTATGTTCTTCTACAAATAAATTCCATATTCCGGTGTGATTAGCGGGCTCCTCAACTCCACCATACCGAGGAGTAAAAATTTATGATAAACTGAAACGTGCATGAAGGAGCCCAATGGACCAAGAAAAGTCTTAACCGTAAATAATCAATCCAAGCTACAACGAAAGCCCAAAACCCTTTCCTTTGTTCAATTTTTTTCCCCCAATACTTTGTTAAACAATCGACTCAAAAAGCTAACGGCAGGTCTGCGATGCTGGTGTTGATTGACTATCTTGAAATCTGAAACGAATTTTTAGTAAAGGTAATTCACCTAGGCGAAAGATCAGAATCTTCTCAAATGGATTTTGCCCAGGTTAACATTTATCATCTTTCTTGTGTTAATTTCTCAGATCATTATGTTTATTTGCACCTTTTTTTTAATACAGATAATAGATCTGATTATTATATCTTTCTCATTGCAGCCCGTTGGAGAAAATTATGCGAATCCAAATACATGTTTCTTTCACGTGCTCTTCAAGGTCACTACATCTCTGAAATTTTTATTTCAAGAATCGACACCTCCGTATAATTAAAATTTTAGACCTTGCAGGCTGCAGCTCTGGCATTCTACATACTTTCAGCCCTGTTTTTTGATAGCTTTGTCATCATTTTTGTGGTCACGGTTCTTCTTGCTGCCCTTGATTTTTGGGTTGTTAAGAATGTCAGCGGCCGAATTTTAGTTGGGCTTAGATGGTGGAATGAAATAAACGAGCAGGGTGAGAGTGTTTGGAAGTTTGAATGCCTAGACCAACAGGTTTCAAGTTCAAATATGATACTAATTTTTTAAGTTACATTGTTTCTATAATAATTTATGTATAATATTCCTTGATTCTATGCATCCCATGTTTTTCTTTTACGCAGTCATTGGCTCGTATGAACAAGGAGGATTCTTGGCTATTTTGGTGGACCTTATACCTTAGCGTGAGTAAATATTGGATGCTGTTGTGTATAATCCACAATATACTCATGGTTCTGGTGCATCGTTCTATAATAGTTTTTACACATTGTTTCTATAATAATTTTTGTTTTTTTTTCCCGCAAGTGAAAATCCTAAGAGGAGCATACCGAATTGCGGACACCCCACCCTGCTGAAATTTGTTCAGATATCTGAATTGAGATGAAATAGAGTAGAATCAAATAGGTCGGGATACTTGTAGTGTCATGCTCTGAATTTATCTATCTCATTGAAGTATAGAACTTTTTTGATATTTTGCCTAATAACAGGTGTGCAAGAAATAAATAAATAGTGGGGTCTTTTATCATATTGAGATATTGGTGTACATGAGTGGTGCGATATGCTTGGAATGCATTGCATGACAACTTAAAAGCTGCAACAGTGGGCATAGAACAAAGCTTTGAATATGTCAATAGTATGGAGCAATATGGTTTCTACGTGTTATATACGAGGGCAATCGACAGCAGAAAGATTGTTGATTGATATGGTCGTAATGCTGTTCTATTTCTTGAATGGCACAATATATAGAGGCATTCTATTGTTTGGAACAAAACCCACTTTATGTTTATCCAGTGACTATCTTGGGAGAGGAAATAAAAATGAAATAGCATTTGGTTAATTTTGTGGAAGTCTGAAGCATGGTGCCCTGCTGCTTGTACTGGAACCTGTTTGCATTAAGTTAATGATATAGATAAATTGCCCACGGCTTTAAATCTCATATACATTTCTCTTAGATTCACCTCACTTTAACTCTGGCACATTACATGTTTCTTATTATTATAGGCCGCTGCTTGGGTCATTCTAGGAATATTTTCAGTCATAAGGTTGGAGGCTGATTATGTCCTAGTAGTTGCTGTTTGTGCAAGCCTCAGCATAGCAAACATTGTTGGATTCACCAAGTGCCGCAAAGGTTTGGATATTTTGAACTTTCTGTGTCAGTATGATCCATCTTTCATTCCAAGTTCAAAAACTGCAGCAAATGACCTCAAAATTGTACTTGTTTTTTAAAAGTTCAATCATATCAATCTTGCTATGTTTTCTTTTGGTGGCATCTGCTGGGGATCAGATTTCAACTGAAAGTACCTACCATGCTGTTCTGAGAAGTCCAATTGTCATAAAATTTATGCTTATAGGGAATATGAGTACCTATTACTGCTGGGGATCAGAACTGCGAGAGACTTTTTTCCTAGGCATGTCACCAAAACAATTGTAACTTGCCTTTGAAAAACATTAAGAGTGGTTTTTTTCTAGTGTTTCTTGCATAAATACTTGGTGAAATAAATTCTTGGTTGCTCAAAATAACAGTATCTTGCCTGCATTACTACAGTATAGAAGTTGCAGTTTTTTTCTCCTGTTTCTTGCATAAATACTTTGTGAAATATATTATTAGATGCTCAAAACAACAGCATCTTGCCTGCATTACTACAGTTTAGAAGTTGCGGTTTCAGAGTGGACTTTGCTTATGTTCTTGGTTTATAGCTTGAGTTTACACAGCATCAGTTCTCTTAACGTTATTAGCATGAATGATTATCCCCTCATATAATTACAGTTTATTTTTCTTGGCTACTATGTGAAAGCAATTAAATTTCTTTAAAGCAATCTTATGTATGGCCTTTTTAAAGCTTCAGTCAAAATTAGATTTTCTTTTTCCTACTGAAGTGTTCTGTCCGTATTCAGATGCCAAGAAGCAGATTCAAGGATTTGCATCCCAGGCTATTACGTCTCATTTCACATCTACCATACGGTCTGCACTGAGTGCTGTGTAAGTTGTCTGAACAGAAATTATCCAGATATATTACATTTTTCTGTTTTTGTGACGGCCAGTAGCAGATAAGTACCAGTACAGTGATTTTGGAAATTCTCAATCCCATTTATTTTTGAAAATACATGAAGACAATGTGAGTGATATATGTAAAGACAAAGAGAACAAAGAAGCTGTAAAAGGTTTTCCAAATACATTTGTTCTTTAATCAAAATGTGCGATTAACCTTTACTGTTGTTTGTCACTTGTTATTATGCGTTCAAGACATGAAAACCAAATTGAAATTTCTTTGAATATGGCTGTTAGAAAGAGAGATCTATGGTTGCATAGAAAATAATTCACCAAATCATGAACTGGGTATAACTAGTGAAGAATACAGATGACAATTGTGCTTTTCTCTTGGAATGTAAATTATGGAAAGTGCAGTTTTGACAATTTGAAAATGGTTGTTTCCACGATCCCATTAACTTGATTGTATGGCACGGGATATATTCGTGAAACACTAGGATTCTTCTTTACTGAGTTGGATTCCTTGGTTTCAACGTTGTTTCTGAATGGGTGGTATAGGATGGGGACCTCTAACCTTAGGTTCATAGCCCATTGATTTTCTATAGCTTTTAAAATGAATTAAAGGCAGAATTGGTGTTGGTGGGGCCTAATATAGCGAACGAATAATGGAGTTAGTGATGGATTGAATAAACAACTTCTTAGCAATTAAATCCTTTTTGGCACTAATGCGGTTTTAAGACTTTGCAAGTCAATTTAAATTACACGAATGTGTTCGTAGCAATTGGAGCTTTCTTGGCAAGAAAATTCCAGTGCTCCTTTTTTTTTTTTTTTTTGAACTTTGGGTGGGCCGTGGGGGGTATTTCTCGGGGTTGGGTTGTTCAATTGGGCTCTTGATATGAAAATAAATCGCCGTCTCTTTATATTGATATTGCATATTTGAGCCTAAGAGCATGGTTGCCGGACAAGACTAAGTTATTTTGACATTTAAGAATGATGTGATAATCTGTTGAGACTTTACTAGTAGAAATTAATTAATTAGTTGACAGCAATGAGATTTTCACGAGAGTCACAGAATTTTTTTCCGTGTCCATCCAAGTTATTTGTAAACAAAAGTGAGCTACAATAAAAGTTGAAACTGTGACTCATAAAAAAAACTGAGATACAATAAAGCATGCTGTAAAGATGTCCTCGTTGTTGGGACCAACGTGACACTGAGATGCCACTGAATCTAGACTATGGCACGCTTAATTTAATAAAGATGCTATGTTCTACTCTGAAGCTTCCGCCCTGTTGAACTCTAGACAACCTTATCTACAGCTTCAACAATTTATTAATGGAACTGGCCTTGTCCTCGTCACTGTTGACGTCATCCTCATCAACGTCATCATCATTTTCCAATGACTGAAACAAGGAAACTTTTTTGAAAAGTCCTATGTTGCAAAACCAGGAGTCCAGTACCTAGAATTTGCGGTGCTAGTCCCGTTGCGATAAGTCTCATGAAATTGAAATTCATAATGATTGAGTTACAGTGGGCCATCGTGGTATTTCATCCAAAACGTATTAATGGGCATGTCCACGTCTCCTTGCCTTGTACCTGTTGACAATTCATCTTATGAACTGTGGAAATTGAGAATTATTATATAGCTAGCGGCTCTTTTTTAAAAAAAATGTAGAAAACTTAAACGAATTTGATGATAAATCACGATTCCAAGGTCCATTTAATGATCAGAATCGATTTTTTTGGTTACATGGCTCATCAACCAGCACAATTGCTGCCACCTGCGAGCAATTAATTACTTACAGCATCATCATTAGTGTTTTCCATTTTCTATTTTTTTCCTCCTCTGCTCTATCTCTTTATCCATGTTTGATTTGTCGCTTTCATTTCCACGAAATACTCTCGCTTCGTTCCTGTTCCTGAACAGAGCCCCAAGTCGTGACCAACATTTGCAACAAGTAAAAGCAATTTTGAGCGGTTAAGCAAAGAGATTTCCCCTACTGTTAAAGATCATCTCTCCTTTTATAATCTTCGATCTTCCGATACCCATGTGTTGATTTTATCATTCCAAAACCAGGAAAGGGGGCTGACCCAATCAAATCGTACCTAGGTCCTAGATCCACCATATTCTTTTTGTGCCAAAGAAATATGGATCCTTCTCCAGTGCTACCTTGACACACCATCATTCTTTCTTAGTCGCTTAATGCTCACATATATGTAAAGATATGTAGTAGTCCATTAAAACTGAAAAACCAAACTGAATCAAATTGAATTAATAATTTTGGTTCAGTTTTATACAAAAAAATTTGAAAAAAAAAACAAAAATTATTTCTATTCGATTTTTTTGTTAAAAAAAATTTTGTTTTCACGGAAAATCGGATTAGAGTTTTTTTAACACACACACACATGAAGCTCTTAGCATAATTAATCTATTAAAATTTGAACATGTGACCTCTAGTAAGAGACTACTATCATTAGGTTATAAGCTTTTTGGTACCAAATTAGTTAGGATGAGCACTATTTAAGCCGTTATATCCGAATTGTTGGTAGACGGGAGACCATCTAGACTCGATCGTAGTATTTTCTTATGATTTTCTTTGCTAAAACTTCAATTCAAACTATTAACATTCTTTGAAAAAAAAATTATAAAGAAGTTATCTTTCGACTTGGTCCAAGAGAAAATTCAACGAGAAAAAGAAAAATGCAAAAAAAAAAGAAAAAAGAAGAGGTTTTTAATAAAAAAAAAAATTAGTTAGGATGAGCACTATTCAAGTCTGTTATATCCGAATTTTTGAAAGACAAAAGACCATCCAAACTTTGATTGTAGCATTTTCTTATGATTTTCTTTGCTAAAACTTTAATTCAAACTATTAGCATTCTTTGAAAATCGAAAAAAAATGGTAAAGAAGTGGTTTTTTAGCTTGGTCTAAGAGAAAATTAAAAAAAAAAAAAGAAGGAAATATGCAAAAAAAAAAAAAAAAGTTTTTAATAGAAAATTGAAAAATCGAATCGAAATATTTGGTTTTCTAACCAAAAAACTAGACCTTAATTTGCTTTTATTTTGATTTTTATTTTAGTCAATTCGGTTAATCTAAAACAAAAATAAAATAAAAACTAAAACCAAATGATCACCACTGTAATGCATTCATTTTTGCCAACCCACCTAGTGACCTTGTCCCATCAAAACTCCTATGCCATGATTTGAGAATGACACTTCGATAGCATGTTAGATGATATTAACTAAATAAACTAAAACAAAACATTAGCTTACTATTTCAAATACTTGTTCATACACTAATATTTCACTATTCATTTATTTTTTTACACTTTGGTCCCTAATATTTGCCAACGAATCTTTCGATCCATATCTTCATTTGCTCATTCATTTTGGTCCCTGGATGAGAGAGAAGAAAGGAGGGAAGAGAGAGACGGGAGAAGAGAGAGAGATCGCCGATCAAGCTTATTTAAACCACTTTGACCGGCGAAAATTCACTAGATTTTTTATCTTTAAAAGATGAGTTTGTCCATGATTGTTTCAAGCCATGAAACAATTAGAGGAGGTAGATCGGAGCCAAAAAAGAAAACAATATTCCGATTTGATTGTGTAATTTTTTTTTTTGTGTGCATTAAAATAATTTTTAAGGTTTTAGATATGTTTTTTGGTTTTATTTCGATCATTGAGAAGTGTTTGAGGAAAAAAAAACGATGTCGGAATTCAATTTCTAAGGGATGCGAAACTTGATCCTTGATTTTTTGACGAAGATTCGACGACCTCCAATCGCTGGAAGTTGTAGATCATTTTTTTTTTTTTTTTGAGCGACGGCCCAAGCTCGATGCGCAGACGCGTACATCCCACGGCTCGCGGGGCTTTTTTTTTCTTCTTCTTTTTTCTTCTCCCATTTTGGCTTAGGAAATTGACTTTTATTTTGGTCCCTTCTTTTTTTTTTTTGGTCATTAAACTTTTCTTATCTTTGATTTTTATCCTTATCAAAAATATTAAAAGTTTCTTATATGTGATTTTTATCTTTATAATAATTTTTTTTTTAAGTTTGAATAAAAATTTATGTTCTTTTTTTTTAATATGTTTTTATTTTAGTCATTAAAGTTTTCTCATATTTGATTTTTATCTTTACTATACTTGAAACTAAATAAAGTTTACTATCCTAAGGTTTTTTTTTTTACCGAAATTTTCTTTCTATTCTAATTTCGTTTTGTGATTTTTTTTCTTTCTTTTCATCATTAAATTTAGTAGAATTATTTTTTAGTTTTTTTTTTTGTAATTTTTTTTTATTTTGATCATTAAATGTTTTCCCTACAAGGAACTATTTTTTACTTTTAGTAAAACTTTTTGTTATATTTTGATTTTTGTTTTATGATCTTTCATTTATTTTGATCATTAAATTTTTATTATATTTAATTATTATTCACTCTACATTAAAATTAAATACATTTTAACTATGCTATGTTTTTTTTTTTTTGTAGTGAAAAAATTTTCTGTTTTGATTCTTATTTTTTTATTTTGGTCATTAAAATTCTACAATGTTTACTTTTGTTCCTACCTTATGCATGATAAAAAAGTTTTTAGTATTATTGTTTATAAGTATTTTTTGTATGCTTTTAGTGAAAATTTTTTTATTTGTTTTTATATTTTTTATGATCTTTACTTTGTTTTAATCATTTAATTTTTATCGTGTGTAATTTTATCTCTATTTTCTTTGTCAAATTCTCAATTTGACAAAGTTTTTTTATCTTTTTGTTTTGAGAATTTGACAAAGTTTTTTTTTATCTTTTTGTTTTGAGTGGTTTCTATGTCTTATTAATAAATTACGGATGAATAATATACAGCAAAAACTAATCATAAAAAATTCAAAAAAGTACCACATTATTAATTTAATTATTAGTTATTAATAAAATACATGTTTATATCAAACAATATCTAATTACCAACATTATATTACTCAACTTTACAAATTTTTCATTTAGCTAACCTTGCGACA